ATCAGTGGTTCTCCACCTGTGGGTTGGGACCCCATTTGGGGTCGAACGACCATTTCACGGGGGTCGCCAAACAACACAGTCCGCCATTTTTTTCCCCTTTTCCTTAGCTGTGCTACTCCCTTTTATTCTATTGGCTTTTGAAAGCCAATAGAATAGACGCTCTTGAATAGAGTCTAATTCTATTGGCTTTCAAAAGCCAATAGGAATTGTCCAGGCTGTCTCTGCCCTGCTGAGCCCGCCAAAAGTCCCATTCTGCAAACGGTGCTGCACCAGTTGAGTAGTCCTCAACTTATGACTGGTTGAGTAGTCCTCGACTTACGACCAGTTGGGGTCACGGCATTAAAAAGGTTGAGAACCACTGCTTTACATGCTTGGAGACAAAAGTATGACTTTAACTATTCAGGGGTCTGCAGAATAAGGCAGATGAGCTAAGGGTGACTGTAACGAATCATGGATTCAATTTATTGGGATTCATGTAGATGTAAATACATATTTGGAGGTCTTTTAGCTTTTCTTTCCTTCCTTTCCTTCCCCCCTTCCCTTCCTTCCTTCTTCCCTTCCATTTCTCTCTCCTTCCTTCCTTCCTTCCCCTTCCCTCCTTCCCTTTTCTGATTTCATTTTCTTCCTTCCTTCCTTCCCTCCTCCCTTCCCTATCTCTCCCTCTCCCTCTCCTTTCTTCCTTCCTTCCTTCTTGTTTCTTTTGCATTTAATTTAAAAAGAAAAAAGAGAGAAAAGCTTGGAGAGGGCCACTATAAGAGTTCTGTTGGGCTCAACTGTTTAGTGCCCCATCATCCTTCCTATCCTTTTAACTAGGAAGCCAAACAAAATGTGAAAAGCTATTTTAAAAAGGCCTGGTTGCTCCTTTTTCACTAAACAAAGTTCTCCCACCAGTACAAAGGTCTGTGTGGGTATAAGCTGAACATTCAGCTCCCATCGATTTTCCCCTGCCTGTGTTTAAAGACCTCCCTAAAAGGGGATGACTTACCGTACAGGACCTCCCAAATGAAAAAGAAAGCCGCAATGCCAACCATGTAGCCAGCTAAACCGATCGCAGTCTTCCAGTTATTCGATGGCTTCAGCATTTCAGCAAATGTTTTGTCAAATTTCATGTGGTAGACTGGAACGAGACGGAGAGGGAAGGAAAGAGGGAAGGGACAAAAACCCCTCTTTGTCAAAGTACAAAATATTCAACAACAACAAAAAAATAACCGGACCAATGCTGACAACTGAACGCACACATTTACATGCAAGTAGTCCTCAGCTTGCGACCGTTCAAAGTTACAACAGAGCCTGCCTCCCCCACCCCAAAGATACTTATGACCCAGTTCCCAAATTATGACAACCATCCTGCCCCCGTAGTCATGTGACTACAGGCACTTGGTAACCGGCCCGCTTTTATGGCCCTTTACAGCATTCCAAGATCATATCACTACGATTTCTGACATGCTTGGTGAAAACCAATGTTTTTTTCCCCTTTTTGTTCAAAGCTCCCCATGCTGGACAATGAATCACATAACCACCATTGCAGGAAAAAAAAAAGGGGGGGGGGATAAAATTGGGTCAGTCACATGATGACTTGCTTTACAACTATCAAGACTTAAAACCGTAACTGGCAGACTCCAATACGGTCGTAATTCGAGGACTACCTGCATTTAAATAGGCCAGGTCATTTTTGTTCGTTTCTTTTGATTTCCTCTCTTGTAACATCTCTCCCTCTGTAGGTACTACTCACGAGCAATCTTCTCATCTGGGGAAAGGGCTGTCCAAGAGCCCTTCTCTTTCTCTTTCAGAGCTTTTTGCTCAGGGCTCAGGTCTTGTATAAACGGAATATCCGGCAAAGGAATAAGAGGGTAGTCCTCATATACGGGCTCAGTATAATGTGGTGCTTTTGTAACTTCTGTTGGCAAAAAAAAAAAAAGAGTCTTATTCTAATACTTGACCTGGCAACTTTGAAGGACATTAGCAAGGCAGAAATATAAAAACAGAAGAATAAGCACCAAAGGTTTTATTCTGCAAAGATTTGACATGGCCAAAAAAAACCCCCCAAAACCCAACAGTCTTCATTATTTCTTCAGAAAAGGCCATGATGAAGAATTCTTGAAAATTAGATCTGGATCCGTCAGGCCACTATGATAGACAAGACAAAGGATAAGAGAGACTGACGGATGAGGGCAAATGTACGTGTCCCAGGAATGTGTTGCAAGATCCAGTCTGGGTTGGTTCACCACGACCAGAGGTTTAGTTTTCCAAGTTGAACAGAGGTCTAGTCTTCCAAGTTGGTAGAGAGAAGTACCCAGAGGATGGGCTCCAGCACAGGTGTGAAAGCTCAAAAGACTAAACCAGGGGTCTTCAAACCTGGCCCTTTTATAACTTGTGGATTTCAATGCTCAGAATTCCTCAGCCAGTGTGTCTTCTGGGAGTTGAAGTCCACAAGTCATAAAAAGGCCAAGTTTGAAGACCCCTGGACTAAACCTTTGATCACTGGAACTGACCCAGACTGGATCTTGCAAAAGAGACTGAGATCAACTCAGCTGCCTAGTCAACATGAGGTTCTCTAGGTAGATACATACACTGTCATTTTAATTTTATAGCATTTTTATTTATTATTTAGCATATGATGAGAACATGACAGAGAACTTAACAGAGAATTTAAAGAACTGTTAGAAAGGGAATCTGCATCCCTAAATTGAAATGGGCTAGTCAAGAACAATTTTCAAGCTACCAGTTAAGATGATTCAATGGCTGGCTTACCATGTCCATGGGTTCTTGCACAAACAGAAGTGGACAAAACACGCCTGCCAATAAGGCTGAATGCCCTAGCAGCCAACATCCTGAAATAGGAAAAAAAAAAAAAAAGGTAGGACATTATGTAGCACTAATTACTAGGAATCCACCACTTTCAACGTCCTTCCAAATGCCATTTCTTGTTTTTTCAGATATCACAAGAAGAGCTTCTGTTGTGTTTGGAAATGATGCTATTGTAGATTGAAATCCATAAGAATAAAAGATCTTCCAAGCAACAATATGAAGAACACAGAGGATGGGGAACAAATGTTTCAATCCTAATATAAGATTCTCTGTTTAGCACACTCCAGGGAATATTTCTATCTAATCTGCTTTGCAGGGATATTTTCAAGATGCAACCAATCATAACCACCCTAACTCACAAATATGTCCAAAAGAGTTTCATAAAATTTACTTCTTCACAGCCACAGTCCATTTCAGAGCTGTTTAAAAAGTCAACCCAGTGAGTTCAGATCAAGATTGGCCCGCGTTATTGTCTAGAATCCCAACACCTGGGAACAGGTGAAATTGCATGATCCTATTTTTATTCTGTCTATCCTATCCTCTCTCTTACCTATTATCTATCTGTCTTCTCTTTCTACTTATTATCTGTCAGTCTTTCCTATCAACTCTACCTATTATCTATCCATCAATCCATCCTATCTCTTACCTATTATCTATCTATCATTTCAACCTATTATCTCTACCTATCTATCCATCAATCCATTCTATCATCTCTTACCCATTATCTATCATTTCTTTCTACCTATTGTCTCTTTCCTATCATTTCTACCTATTATCTGTCTCTTTCCTATCATCTCTACCTATTCATCAATCCACCCTATCATCTTTTACCTATTATCGATCTATCATTTCTACCTATTACGTCTCTTTTCTACCATGTCTTCCTATTATCAATCTATATAGCTATATATCATCTCTACCTATTATCTATGTCTCTTTCCTATCTCTTCCTATTATCTATCAATCTATATATCTATCAATATAGCTATATATCATCTTTATTATCTCTTTCCTATCATCTCTTTTATCATATATAACCATCAATATAGCTATATATCATCTCTACCTATTATCTGTCTCTTTCCTACCATCTCTTCCTATTATCAATCTATATATAAATCCATATAACTATGTATCATCTCTTCCTATTATGTCTCTTTCCTATCATCTCTTCCTATTATCTATCTGTCTATCTATCTATCGATCTATCCAATCGTCTCTCTCACCTATTACCTTTTTATCCATCATCTATTTAAATACATACTCAAGGTAACAAGCCTATCTAATGCTCCCCCCTCCCACTTTATTGTTGCTATTGGTGTTATTATCCCACCTATCTAACCTATTTTAAATGAATAAATAAAAAGTTGCCCCTCCTTTGCCAGCCCAGCCCGCGTGTTTCTGTTATGTGTAGCTTCCCCCCCAAAAAAAGTGGGGCCCCTCCCCGCGCATAAGCGGACCTTACTCCGAGGAAGCTTAGGACACCCTCCACCTCTCCCCGCCCCAACAGACAACCCTCGGCTGCGGACGATGGGAGGTGTAGTGCGCGGCGCCCTGGAAAACTTCTCTCCCCCCCGTCCCTTCCCGCGTCCGTCCCCCCTCCAGTTCCCGCATCTCCCTCCCCGTCCCGTCCCGCGGGGAGTCGGGCGTCTCAGCCGCCGGCCAGCCACCCACCCGAGACGGCCCGTGTCCTCTACAGCCGGAGATGGAGGACGGAAGGAGAAGACGGGAGACGCGGGGCAGGGCAGGCCGGAAGTGGGTTTCCAAGGCACGACGGGATATTGGCGGACTCAGGGAAGCGAAGGAAGAAGGAGCAGGCGGCATAGAGCTATGGCGTGAAGAGCGGCTCGCCCCGTCTTTGCTTCAGGCGCGGTGCTTGCTGGGCTGCCACTCCCATCATTCCCAGCCCAGCAGGGTTCCGCGTTAGTCCCTCTAATACAGGGCTCTTCAAATTCAGCCTTTTGATGACTTGTGGACTTCAACTCCCAGAATTCCTCAGCCAGCGTGGCTGGCTGAGGAATTCTAGGAGTTGAAGTCCATACGTCATAAAAGAGCCAAATTTGAAGAGCCCTGTTCTAAAGGTTGCACTTGCCCCGCCTCCTTGCCTCCTTCCACCCTCCAGCCAGCCTAACCTCAACAACTCTCTCTCACTCTCTCTCCTTTGCCCCTCTAGCACGCACCCCTCTATAGTCGCAGCTGCAGTCTCCTATCTCCATAGAGACCATAGAGATGGGCCAGAGCGGACCGCGCGCCCTCTTCACCCCCACTTCCCTTCCCCCGTCTGCGCATGCTCCCGCCTCTCCCGTACGGCGGCCGAGTGGCTTTTGCGGCCTCTTCGCCCCCTCGACGGCGGGCCCGGGCAGGAGGCCCGCTGAGGAAGAGGAGGAGGAGGAAGAAGCGGCGGCTGCCATGAAGCTGAGCACGCAGGCCTACTGCAAGATGGTGCTGCACGGCGCCAAGTACCCGCACTGCGCCGTCAACGGGCTGCTGGTGGCCGAGAAGCAGCCGCCGCCCCAGCGCGGACGGGAGCGGGAGTCGCCGGCCCAGGCGCTGCTGGTGGACTGCATCCCGCTCTTCCATGGCAGCCTGGCCCTGGCGCCCATGCTGGAGGTGGCGCTCAGCCTGGTGAGGAGGGCGAGGGAGGGCGAAAAGACGCCTTCGGGCTTCTTGGCCACTTAGGGCGGCGCTCTTCAAACGTGGCCCTTTGATGACTTGTGGACTTCAATTCCCAGAATTCCTCAGCCAGGCACGCAGGCTGAGGGATTCTGGGAGTTGAAGTCCGCCAGTCATCAAAGGGCCACGTTTGAAGAGCCCTGGGTTAGGGCTTATATTTGGGGAAATACGCTATTAAATGCGTCTGGCTGATGAGCTTAACTGGGGCTTATTTTCTGGTTGGGTTTTATTTTCAGGGAAACACTGTATACATATGCATATGAATACTGTGTTCCCCCCCAAAAAAAATTAGACCGGATCTTATATTAACTTTTGCTCCAAAAGACGCAGTGTTTCTCAATCTTGACCATTTTAAGGCATGTGGACTTCAACTCCCAGAATTCCACAGCTAGCATTGCTGGCTGTGGAATTCTGGGAGTTGAAGTCCACATGCCTTAAAATGGTCAAGGTTGAGAAACACTGGATTATTAGGGCTTATTTTCCAGTTAGGGCTTATATTTGGGGAAATATGGTACTAAATGTGTCTGGCTGACAATCTTAACAGGCTTATTTTCCGGTTGGGCCTTATTTTCAGGGAAATGGGGTCGTAACCGAAGGTTCCTTAGTTATTGTTTTCTGCCAGGGTGTTTGTCTGGGGTTGATCCCTGCTTCTCTGAGCGATGTCTGCTGGAGGGGACAAATTCTGGCATTCAAAACAAACCAACCATTAGCGGACCCAGATAAATCACATTTACGTACCATTCAAAAGAGGTAATAGAAAATCTAGGAAGGAAAGAGAATCATCAAGGAGGAAATCACACACACACACACACCAAAACTGTCAGGGCCAGCTGTTATATAGTATATAAACAGACAGCCAACCTCACATCTGGCACTGATGATGTTCCCTAGTTGGGTAATGAAATATGTGCAAGCCAACAACAAAGCTCAGAGAGCTCCAGGGACTCCACAGAGGAGACAAGCAGGAAGGATTTAAAAACCCAGTTAGAATAAAGTTGTTCAAACAGCTTTTACGAAATGTTAGGAGGGGAGTCCCTGCAGAAACGTCCTGCGATCTTGGCCAACCCCTTTGGACGTTACGAGATGGAGACCTGCAAGATGCTGCTGGGCTTCGTATGTTAGCTGTAGATAGAAATATTTGGAAAATGACATTTTCTGCCTGTATCTGAAAGTCTCACTGAAGATAAAAATGGCAGCAAACGCCTTCCCGTTCAACACTGTAGTTTTATCACCAAGTTTTCAGACATTATTTTGCCAAAGTCGATGTGAAAATTCACTGCAAAATTAGGCTTGCATTTACAGCCACTGTAGAACCTGGACAGTGTCAGAAGTCTGCATGCCGAGTAATTCAAGCAATTGAATTTGTCTGCCGAATTGGAAATGGACAGAGCTGAATCAATTAGTAAATCAGGGTAGTTTGCTGGGGGGGGACTTAGGACAGACTGAGAAGACTTAATTAGAGAGAGTGCACTATGTCTTAGAAGGTCAAGACACCAATCTGTCTTTGGGAAACTTTTGGTTGCTGCTGAGTAATTAGATTTGACAGCTTTATTTGAAAATGGCCAGTAGAAATAATGAGAAGGGAAAAAACACGATTGGCCTGGCTGTCTTTCCAGGCTTGGCTACCCATCTGGCCCAAGCCCACAAAGCATAAGACTAATTCAACGGGGCAATAGTAATTTAGTAGGTGAAATATGGAAAACGGGTAGTTTTTTCTTTTCCTTTTTTTAAAAAAAATAGCTGGCATATACATAATTGCTGGGTAGTTTTTCCCACTTCCCTGAATCAAGGGATTATCTTAATCAGATAATCTTATTACGAGAAGCAAATGTAGTGGCTTCAAAGCTATCAAGCGGGGCCAGAATCTGACTTTGGATAAATGCATTCAGATCAGATTGTGCCTCCTGACATTTAATTCTTCTTAAGTATTTTAATAAAGCTTTATGGCAGATTAGATGATACAGTACATTATGATAAAATAAGGGTTTTATACAAAGGCTGACCGTATAATTAAAGTGCCTTTTGGGAGGAAGAAGACATTATTTGAGGCTGATCTCCAGATCTTAACTGCCAGGGCTTCCTTAAAGCCTGCAGTCCTAGCTGTCAGCCGTTTTGGATGTGGGCCCCTCAGGATGGAATTAATAAACCACTTTCTCCTCCCCCCCCCCAAAGTTCAGCCTGTGCTGACCCCACCTCAATATTGTTGAAGGAATTAGAGATGGGAGCGGAGGGAATGATTCCTTTGTTCTTGCTTTGCCATCTGTCTCTTTCTTTTTGTGTTGCTCCGTTCCTCCCTTAGATCATTTTCCATGGAAATGATCAGAGGTTGAAGAAGACGATACCAATAAAAGAGAATGCTTATCCATGGTGCTCTCTGATCTTGGTGCTTTCTTGCAGGTGTTTCATGACCCAACTAGGTAACATCATCAGTGCACAGTGGAAGAAAGCCATCAAGTGCAGAGAGCATCAGTGACCCACTGAAAAAGAAGGGTTCTCTTCCCCTGTGGGTTGCTTTTATTTCATTTTTGAATTTCCTAGTCAGAATCCCTAGGCCAGCAGCAGAGAACTGAGGATGGCTAAGAAAAACACTGTCCCTATAGCTCAGGGGTCTCCAAGCTTGGCCACTTTAAGACTTGGTTCACAACTGGCTGGGGAATTCTGGGAGATGAAGTCCACAAGTCTTAAAGTGGCCAAGTTTGGAGATCCCTGATATAGCCAACTCAGAGTATTTTTCACCTGGAAATTTCATTCGTGATATCTGCTTTAATTTTCCTTACAGTCACTCTCTGATGTGCTGGATCTCTGGGCATTTTACAGATGGCAAACTATGTGAGCAAAAATAAATGGGCCTATCATGGCAGACATGCTATTTGATCCTCGAACTCTCTGTGTATTCCCCTGATAGCAAGATAGCAAACATCCTATGCCATTCTTGGGAAAAAGATGAACATCAAAATCCCACATTTGTTGCACCTTTCAGTAGACTATATGTTTCCTTAGAGCTGCTAATTTAGAAAACACATTTGTAAAATCTGTGAGCTTTCTGTCCACTGCAGTAGCTAATTATCATTAGCAAAACAAAGGTTATAATAGAATTTGCCATAAACTTCTAGTCCTGCCTAAGAAGCTTAACTAGATCATGCTTTGTATACAGAGCATGCCTTTTCAGATATCTGGCAGGTGAAAACCAATTGCCAGTTATATTTCATCTTCTCCTTTGTTGCAGCAGCTATTAGCATGTGCTGATGACGGGTGTCAGTCGATATGTCAGTGTGAAATAACTCTCAAGAAAATGGGTAATCGGGTTGCGATTTCAATAAAATTGCCTGTTGCAAACATCCACTATTTTAGTCTCTGCCTTTATTGTCTTTGGGTGCTTATAATTTTTTTTAATGACCTTTTCAGATTGATTCTTGGTGCCGAGAGAACAGCTATGTAATAGCTGGCTACTACCAAGCGAATGAACGTGTGAAGGATGCCAGGTGGGTGGCTGGGTTTATCTTCCTTATCGTTGACTTAATTCGTCTTTTGCAGCACCTTCCTTCCCGAATTCTTCCGAGTTGTCCATGCTTTGCATTACAGCAGTTAAGCAATTGGAGAAACAGACTTACTATAAACTATAAATCCACAACTATGAAACCTATGGACTTCAACTCCCAGAATTCTCCAGCTAGCATGGCTGGCTGAGGAATTCTAGTCCACAAGTCTTAAAAAGTGGCTAGGTTTGGAGACCCCTGCTCTAAAGAATAGTAAGAGGAGATTACAGGAAATTTCTCTTTTTAGTTTGGGTTGAGAATTATTCATATCTGCTGTTGATGAGATTAATGTTATTTCTGAAATTGTTTCTTCGTCCAATTAATGGCTTGTTACATGCTATCTGATCAAGTTCTCCTCTCTTTATTTTGCAGTCCAAACCTGCTTGCTGAAAAAGTCGCCTCCAGGATTGCAGAAAACTTCAGTGATACAGCCCTCATAATGGTGGACATGCTTTTTTTTTCCTTAGTTTAATATTTATTTCATGGCCAATTTCTTTAGCGACTTGCTCCCGGAGTTATCTGACAACAGAGGGGGCTGGCAACTGTAAACTCTCTCTGATCTTACAATATGTATCGGGAAAAATTAAAGTTGATAACCCAAGATTTCAACCAAGGTTTTTTTTTTTTTACTTTCAAATGAGCACTCCTGTTGAAACAATTGAAAGCAGTTAAAATCTCTTATTTATTTCATGCTGTTTCGATGTAAAGTGGAGGATGGTCATTTCTGTTGAGAATGGACAGCCTGTCCTGAAAATCGTTTTGGAAATGAGAGCAAGGGGCCTTATTCCTATATTAACCTTATGTTACATGTACAGATCCCTGAATAGCAATAAGCTAGATACTTTAGTGTTCACACATTCCATTTTAAAGTATTGGGATAACACAAATAAAGCTTTGTTTTTCTGTTCTGCATCAGGTGGATAACACTAAATTTACAATGAAGTGCCTAAAACCAGCAGTTCATGTGTATGAACACCATGAAAATAAATGGAGATGCAGAGACCCACACATGTGAGTATTCTTAAAATAAACTTTCCTGTCTGAAAAACGAACGCCTTTTGCAATTCTTTTACGTAGTATTTTCCTTCTGGGCTATTTCATAAAGCACAAAACAAAACGATTAATGTTAAAAACGACCATAATTGAGACTGGATCTTCCATCACTAAATAATGTAGCCATTAAATGGGTCATTTTGCAACTTTTTTACTGTGGTCATTAAGCAAATTACGTGGTTGTTCTGGCTTCCCCCCCCCCCCTTCACTTGGTTTGTTGAAAGCTCCCTGGCAAAGCTGCCAATGGCAATCATGTGACCCGGGACGCAGTAAGCGTTGTAAATGTGAGGACTGGTTATAAGTCACTTTTTTCAGCACTGTTGTTCCTTCGAACGTGGTCTTTTATTTCTCCCTTCTCTTCCTCACTAGTGATTATTGTGAGGATTGGACAGAAGCTCAAAGGATCTCCGAATCCCTTTTGGACAGCCGGTCCTATGAAACACTAGTGGATTTTGATAACCACTTGGATGACATTCGGAATGACTGGACAAACCCAGAGATCAATAAGGCTGTTTTGCATCTCTGCTAAGAAGATTCCCACTGACTTGACGTGCTGGGGTTTTCACTGTGCTGAACAAAACAAAAAAAAGAGCATTAATTTTCAAATGTAAATAGAAAGGTGATGGTTCCTTCAGGCGAGTGAGTCCCATCACTTAGGGAAGGATGTGTTGCTATGCAGTCAAGTCTTTTTAATGAGAATCTTTGGGACATTCTCCCTATTTTGAAGCCTTTTTCTGTCCGTTGCCCTGGTGTCCTCCTGCTGATGCGTTCTTGCGACCCTCCAACTAGATCAGGGGTAGGCAAGCTCGGCTCTTTTATGACTCATGGACTTCAACTCCCAGAATGCTGACTCAGGAATTCTGGAAGTTGAAGTCCATGAGTCATAAAAGAGCCGAGGTTGCCTACCCCTGAACTAGATCAACTTGTTCCAAATCATTCGTATTAAAAAGTTTTGACTTAACTTTTCATATCCTTTAGAGATAATTTAAAAAGAGAGAGATTTGTGAAATATCTCAGAGAGTTAACAGCTAGTTTTATTTTTTAAAGAATCTGCATCTAAATAAATTGCTGAGCTTTACGTGGTCTGGTCAGTTTGGAATGTCTTATTCCAAGGGCTGACTTCTGGACCTGGTTGCAGTCGATGGGTAGATTGTGCGGGGAGAAATCAACTTGAGATACAGTAGATCCCCAGGAGCTGCCAAGTTTCTTTCCTTATTCGGGAATGCTGCAATTTTTCTGACTCTCCAGTTTTGAGTGTTGAAGTTGAACAGCGAACCCCTTCCGTGAATTCAGCATAGACCAAACGGCTGTCTTTTTGTTTACTGCAAAAAAGCAAAATAGTTCTCTCAATTCTTTCATCTGGAGAGAGAGAAAAGTAATTTCTTTGATGTTTAATTGCACAAACAGAGGAAGAGAAGTTACAGCCGTGGATTCCAGTTCCTGAAACAATTCTGATGGAGTAGCCTCTAAGCCAGCATTCTCCTTTTGTGTTGCCCTGTCAGGAAAGGGGTTCTGACAGCTGTGAGTTGTGCATTTGAAACACAACCCTCCTCTGATTTGCCAGTTCTGTTCCCAGTCCTCCAAGTTCGGATTCGTTATTCAGGTTTTCAGAGACCAGGTTTTTCCAAGTCCGGAAAGAATCACCAGCTGCGATTCAGCACAAACTTTTGATCTTTGCACACAAAGGAGAAGAATGTGCCACTTCAAAATCAGCGCACTCCAAATGGATTCCAGTCTTCCCTCGAGGTGCTGGTCCCCCTACTTTCCACAGCACGCATACATATTGATGGACACATCTCCTTTCACCTGTCTAGTGAAAGTAAGTGTGGAAGAGCACAACTGTTGATCGTTCAGCGCTGGCCTTCCTGTTTGTTGTCATGCTCTTTCCTTGCAAGCAGATGTTATGGCGTCTTAACACTTGGGGTTTCCCTTTGAGCTGTTTGGATCCGGCTTATAATATGGTTTTGTGGTGTAAAGTGTAAAAGAGTCTTTAAAACAATACAACCTGTGTCACTTTGGTATTTTTCCCTCCTTTTTTTAACTTTTAGCACGGGTGTGTTCATCCTTATGTTGTTTTACAGGTCTGTTTTTGTTTTATTTTGTTTCTTCCACTTGACTGATCCTGCACTAAGGCGACCTTTTATTTATGGCATATTCTGTATCTCAAAAAGTATCCATTTGGGCTTTTATATTGCTTTCTTTCCTTCACCCCCTTGAAAATAAAGATGATGAAACAAACCTCATTTTGTAAGAAGATGTGATGTGTTGTTTGTTAGGCTAAAATTGCCCTTAGGAGAGAATTGCAAGGCATGGGGAAATTTTCCTGGCTGGAGGTTGAGGCTGTGTTGCAAAGGAAAAGAGAGTCTTCGAATTAAATGTACCTTACATGCAGTGGCTGCTTTTAAAACCTGTGCTCTCTGGAAAGAGTGTTTGAATTGCCTAAAACACTGGCCCTGATTAGCTGGCTGAGCTTCCCTGCTTTCTCTATAACAGTGGTTCTCAACCTGTGGGTTGGGACCCCATTTGGGGTCGAACGACCATTTCACGGGGGTCGCCAAACAACGCTGTCCGCCATTTTTGTTCCCCTTTTCCTTAGCTGTGCTACTCCCTTTTATTCTATTGGCTTTTGAAAGCCAATAGGATAGACTCTCTTGAATAGAGTCTAATTCTATTGGCTTTCAAAAGCCAATAGGAATTGTCCAGGCTGTCTCTGCCCTGCTGAACCCGCCAAAAGTCCCATTCTGCAAACGATGCTGCACCAGTTGAGTAGTCCTCGACTTAACGACCGGTTGAGTAGTCCTTGACGTACGACCGGTTGGGGGTCGTGGCATTAAAAAGGTTGAGAACCACTGCTCTATAATGATCTGAAGACCTTTAGCAATGCCAAATGATGAATGGGTGTCTCTGAGGCACATGGAAAATTTTATGGGATATATTGTCAACCGAAAAACATTTTCCACCTTGGACAGCTTTGCTTTTAGCCTGATTTTCAGCTAGAAGCAAATGCTGAAAGCATTTCTCAATCAGGGGTCTGCCACCTTGACAACTGAAGTCCACAAGTCTTAAAAGTTTGTCAAAGTTGCAGACCCCTACAGGCGGTCCTCAACCTAACCACCACATTTGTGCCCCAAATTTACATTGTTAAGTGAGAAATTTGTTAAGCGAGTTTTGCTCCATTTTACGACTTTTCTTGCCACATTGGTTAAATGACGCGCTGAAGTTGTTAAGTTAGTAACAACGGGTTGTTAAACGAATCCGGTTTCCTCATCAACTTTGCTTGTCAGAAGGTCGCAAAAGAGGATCACACAATCTCAGGATTGTAAATTGTCGGGTGGCCTCATCAGGTTGTGGCTGATTCCACAGATCCCGGTTTAACAAACAGCCTTGGGATGCACAAGACAGGCCATTGGTGCCTCTGGCTCTGGAGAGGATCAGAGGGAGCTTTCGATAACCAGCTTAACTCTCCTTCACTCTGACCAAGGTGGGGATGGGCAGGGATTGCCTTTGAGTTAAAGTCAACTCTCAGGGGCTTCACGGGCACCTATGGCTGCCGGCTGAGGAATTCTGGGAGTTGAAGCCCACTAGTCTTAACGGGACTAAGGTTGGACACCCTGGCTTTAAATCTTTCCTTGCTGGGCTCCCGTTCTTGCAGGCAGGGCAGCCGCCCAGCCTGGCATGCCACCAAGATGCAGCCGGAGAGGGCAGGTCTCCTGCAGGCTTCTGCTTGGGGGGTGTTTGTTTTCCATGGCTTCAGGAAAGTTCTCTCCCCCTCCCCTTCCGATCTGGGAGGTGGTGGGGAGCCTACGAACCAAACTTGTTGGAGAAACACAGCCAGCGTGTAAGGGGCTTGCGCCAGCCCGGTGAGTACATCCCGTTTTCCTTTCCGCATTATTGGAAAGCGCCGGTCCCTCGCGGCTTCTGGATCTTTGCACGAACCCACCCACCCCACCCACCCAAAGGATGTTCGCCAAGGGGGCTTCCTTGAGGAACGCTCCCCTACGACGCCTCCGCAAGGAAAGCCTCTCGCCCTGGAGCGAGGATGGAGGCCAAGGGATTAAGCGTGGAGCGGTCAGGAGGGAACCGCGCACGTGCAGAGGGGCAGGGGGGAATCGGACCCCCGACTCCCGTCGCCTTGCCCGTCGGCCCCAGCAGCACCCCCCCATTTGGGAGGGTCTCCCTCCATTACAGCACCCACCTGCGGCTGGAAAAGCCGGTTGCCGCTTCTTGTTGCAGCAGGAAAAGCTGCAGCAGCTTTCTGACTCCCGCCCCCCTCCTCCATTCCTTCCCCACCCCCCAGGAATGCTAGGATCCCCCCCCCATTCGCCCCGGGGACCTCGCCAGTTCCCCCCTACCCCAGCCGCAGCCCCGCACCGGGCCAGAAGCGAGACGCAGCAGCGGCAGCGCGCCCGACCCTCCCTCCGCTCTCCTGCGGCCCTGGGCGGGGGGGGGGGGCGAGCTGGACACGCCTGTCCACGGAGATGGCCCATCCCGTCCCCTCCCCGTCTCCCCCTCCCAGCCACGCGTATGCAAATCGCCCAGGCCCTGCCTCTCGGGCTGCTGCTGCTGCGCTGGGCGCGCAGCGATGCCAGCGGCTGGGAGTTCGCGCGAGCGGGTGAGTGGCTCTGCTCTGTCCGGCCCGGACCTAGCGGAGGGGCGGGTGGTGGTGGTGGTGGTGGTGAAGGGGGTCGGCAGGGCTCCCTTCGCCTGCGCTGCACGGGGCGATGGGGGGGGGGGCGTGGTGCACGTTCCGTGCTGCATGCAGCATGCTGCATGCATCCCCCCTACCACCCCCCATCCACTTCTCCCTGCCCCCCCGCGCGCCCCTCTCTGCCTTTCCCGGCTGGCCGAGCTGCTCCCCGGCCGAGCTGGGAATGGCAGGCATCAGGGCATTTGCGGGGGTGGGCAAGGGTCCCGAGTGGGAGGGAGGGGAGCGGGCTGAATCAGACCGGAGTGTGTGTGGGGGGTGGGCGCGTGGCCCTACGCGGGGCCGACTCAAAAGTGTGGCAGGAGGCTTAAACCACCGTGGGAGACCCACCCGCGCCCTGCCAAATCATTCGTGGGGGTTGCAAGCCCCCCCCTCGCCCAGGCCGGGACGAGCCCCCCGAGAGCCGAGTGGAGATGAGGGCGGAGGAGCTGAACATCTGGGCGAGGCACAGAAAGTTGGCACCCGTGGAGGCGCTTCCTTTCCGGCACGCTTCCAGCTGTTGCTCGGTCTTCAGCTGAATCGCGGAGGGAAGAAGTGGGTTGGGGGGCGTAGGTAGCCCGCACCAGCTCCCTGACTTTTCAGAAGTTTCCCCCTGGGTGGGCGAGAGAAGCACCTGGAGCGGTGGGGGGGGGGAAGGGGAATTCTTCGTTCCTCTTCTTCTTTCCAGGTGGCTGAACCCGGCGGTCTAGCATTTGTTACCGTGGCCCGGTGGGGCTGGGAATGCTGTAGTCTAGCAATCTCCGGAGGGCTGGGGGCAAGCACGGTTGTGCACTCCGACGGCTCTCTTCGAGAACTTTACAGCCGTTTGATGCGCATTGATTTCCCATCGATTGCTGGGCGCTGCCAAGAAACGATTTGCTGTCTTGCGTGAGGAGGAGGTGAAAGGTGTTTCCACCTCAACGAGCATGGATTTCGATCCAGGAAGGGTGTGATCAGCCAGCTAGACGCCTCCGGTTCTGCTTTCTTTAGAAACCATCGCTCTAAACTTTCCTTCCTCTCAAAGGAAGGGAGTTGGCTTGGTCTGGGGCGCTGATAGGCAGCTATAGATAGCTGGACCAAGCTGGATAAGAACAGGGTCCCTGGCCTTGGCAACTTGGCAAGTCTTGTGGACTTCAGCTTCAGAATGAGTGGACCGCCAGATGTGTGGACTTCAACTCCCAGAATTCCCTAGTCGTCCATCTTGGTTGGGGCATTCTGGGAGTTGAAGTCCATAGGTCTTAAAGCTGCCAGAGTTGGACACCCCTGAACTAGGAGGACACATATCCTAAGACATAATAGCCTAAGAAATCCCTGCAGAGGGAGGGGGAGAACATCTCTGGAAGTTAGTAATGGGGGGGGGGACTGTTAAAGAACCAGGTTGTGCAAAGATTGGGGTGTCTTCTGGATGTATTAACATCCATTCTTCTCTCTCCTCTGCTCAGCTGGGAAATAAGTCCAATTTTCTTGATCTCTCCACTCACAATTGAGCACCAAATTTCTTCTCCTGGAACTGTGCCCTCTGCTCTCTTTCTAAAATTCAGTGAGATTTTCCAATTGTACTTAGATACTCCTTGGCATCCTCTAGCCTAGACATTTAATCATTGGCCTTGTTCTCCTAAAATAAGCCACATTTTGTTCAACCAGGAGTTGTGGAACAAACCACAGAGGAGTAGGATTATATAACATACCAAGCCATAAATCATGGGTTACAGACCCCAGGGGATGGATTAAAATAACATTTTAAGCCACAAAATGGTGGTTTGGCACATGAGATGAATCCAGTTACTGGTGATGGCTACACTGGAGGCGCAATCTTTGACCCCTCTGTCACAACTGGTAGTAGTCAGGCTAGAAGTTGAAATGTTTGTGAAGTTGAGCCAACGAAAAATCCACCAGCTCGTTTGCAAATTGGTGGACCTTGGATTCCAACAGTGCCAAAAAACAAACTTCTTTGAACAGGGAACCCCAACCTCAATGCTAGTGATACCGTGGGGTGCTTGGTGCTCTCTGGGCTTGCTTTTTTGCAGACTTTTGTTTCATTACCCAACTTGGTAACATCATCAGTGCTACAAGGGAGTGGGACTTGTCTCTCTGTTTATATACAAGTGTCTTGCCCTGCCAGTATTCGTGGGAATATGTTTTTTTCTTCATAGTTTCTTGATTAAGATATTGTTTTCTGTTTGATTGTTTGTCTGGTTTTAATCCATGCTTACCTGGGTTTCTCTTTCTGTGGAATCCTTAGTGCTAGCTAGATGTTCGCTAGTTGGGCCATGAAATGTCTACAAGGAAACAACTAAGCTCAGAGAGCACAAAGGACCCCACAGTCTCCTCCTCATCCTTTTCTTCTCCTTTTCCTTCTCCCTCTCCTCTCTACTCTTTCTCCCTACTCCTACTCCTACTCCTACTCCTTTCTTCTCTTTCTCCCTCTCCTTCTCTCTCCTCCTCCTCTTCACAAATTCGGCTATCTTCTAGCACTGATGACATTACCTAGTTTGGATAATGAAACCTCTGCAAGAAAACCACCAAGCTCAGAGACCACCAAGGACCCCACAATTCAACCTTGAGCTACACATATTCTCTTCTGTTGGTACTATTAATACCCTGTGTCCTGGGATTTTCAGCTGCAAATAATCAGTTTGTCCCCAGATATGCAGCTCATTGGCCTGGTCTATATCAGGAAAAAGAAACATGATACTTCCCAGCTGTTGCTGAAATTCATCACCTGCCAGGCTGGTGAGGGCCACTGGGATGTTCAGCAACATCTGGTTTCACATTTTGGGTGGATGTATATTGACTGTTTGCACTTTCCATTTGCAATTTCTTCCACTCCCCTGGCAGAGTCAATGTGCCCGCTATAAATAATACCCAGATTCTGTTTCATGCAAACATTGTGTGAAGAAGTGGGAACATCAAATCCTTTGGGGAGGAGAGAACTTTTCTTGTCACCCAATTGTTGAAACGTCTTTTCAAACCTGAGCATTCACATTTGTTCAATTCTCATTAAAGGTTGAAAACAAATTAGATACAAGCAAGCCAAGATGGGTTTTTAAATCCTGTCTTCCAGGAGCATTATTTTTCCTATGTGCAAAAGTTGAATTCTTTAAAAATGAAGCAATTCAGAATCTAGAGATATGGAGTGAAGCTGCCCCCATTCCACCCCCACCCACCCCCCCAAAAAGTCGTCGTTGCACCTAAATCAGAGTGACACCATTCCTACCAGCTCACAGGTACTCCAAATTTCTTGGGACGTTGGGGAGAATAATGTTATATTTCCAAATTAGATGGGGACAAAGCCCATTTTGAAAGGAGCTTCAGGGGTTTTTAACTTTGGAAAAAGTGATATTTTATGCCTCTACAAAATGTAAGGGAGTCATCTTATCCCTGAACTCCTTTTCCAGACCCCCCCCCAGTGCCCAAAAAATCGCCCTACCCCTAAACCTGGGGGCTTGAAAGAGTAGCGGTCTCAGAAAGCATGAAGCCCTCAAACCAGATACTTTACACTCCCGATTTAACGGAAGCACAGCCAAATTCACATCTGGTGAGGCTCTTCCTGTTGAATTTCTCCCTCTTTGGAAACCTCAGAGAGCCTGAGAGAACAGCATGGGAGAATTGCTCTATTTCAGTGATGGCGAACCTTTTAGAGACCGAATGCCCAAAACCTGCCCCCCTGCCCCTGCTCGGCCTCCCACCCTGCCTGCTCTGCCCCCACCCACCCCCTGTCCCACCCGCACGTAGGGCCACCCAGTGCTTCCATGGCCCACCGCAGATCGCCCAGGTGGCCCTGCAGCGCCATGGCAGCCATTCCCTCCACCCACACCCTGCAACATCATCTGTGCATGACAGGGCGCAAGGGCGGGGTCTTGTCCCTGCTGCCCAGCTGCCATGTCCTTGGTTGCGCTGCTCCATGCGGGCCATGCCCAGGGGCGACTCTCCTCTGGGGGGGGGGTGCTGGTGAGGAGGGGGCCACGGGGAGGCGGGGCTGGGGTGACAGCATGAGTGCCCACAGAAAGGGCTCCAAGTGCCGCCTCTGGCACGCGTGCCATAGGTTCGCCACCGCTGCTCTATTTGATGCAAAATAGGGCCCTCTCAAACATCTGCAGGACTGTTCTTTGAGCGGTGGACATTTCTGGCATTTCAATCTTTTCTGCCCCACAAATAAACGTTCTCCTGTTCCACCCTAACCTCCTTCTGCTGAATGGCTGGCATACCTTGGCATCTTTCCTTTAAACCGAGACCAGCGAAGGATTGAAGCTAGATTCCTTCCCATGGATCCCAACCGGCCACAGATGGAATATCCGAGTCATGTCACACCCGGGAATCCGCTTTTTATAGCATCTGGTAGTGGTAGCCCTGCTGGGTTCCAGGAGCTGATCAGAAGTTAATGATTAAATTGAAGCCTGATGGAGGCGGAGTGTCTCCCTCTTGTTTGTATTGATTAGGTCCACTTGCTTCCCTGTCCAAGGAAGATTACAGTCATGGAAACACTTTCTGCTAGATTCTTCTCGTGCTCAAGATAAGCTGGCCACAAACTGGTGGTGGAGGAACAATTGACAGCTATGTCTGAATGGGGCCCCTGCCTCCGTTGATTCTGCTCTATATGTTAAACCCAGGTTCTTCAACAGCTTGATGGGTTCCCTGCAGGTGGTTCATTGATCCCCAGTGAATCCTCCATCACAAGCCTCTGGATACCAACAGGTGCTTTTGCCTTAAAAAAAAAAAAAACAGAAAACTCCTGTGTTACATTACACACAGAGACCCCACACAGACACAGAGAAGGTCTAACCTGTAGGTCTAATCTGGTATCATTAACAAAATATCCTACAGCTCTTTTGAGAAGTCCTTGCAGTTTCTCCCAGCCTGCCTCTTTTCTATAAAACTCTCTCCCCTGGTGAGTATGAGAGAGGAGAGGTTTGAGAGAGGGAAGGAAGGAAAGGAAGGAAGGAAGGAAGGAAAGAAAGAAAGGGAGGGAAGGAAGGAAGGAAGGGAAGGAAGGAAGGAAGGAAGGGAAGGAAAGAAGGAAGGAAGGAAGGAAGGAAGGAAGGAAGGAAGGAAGGAAGGAAGGAAAGAAAGAAAGAGAAGGAAGGAAGAAAGAAAGGAAGGAAAAATTCTCTTCTATTGGACCCTTCCACGCTTGGTTAACTAACTGGTTAAAGACTGGAGAAAGATTTCAACAAAACATTTGGCTTCCTAATGTTTTCCACGGGGTTTGTTTTGGTTTTGTCTTTTTTAATGGCAGCTGAGTTTACACAGTGCCTTGAGATGGGGGATTGTTTGGAAAGCCGTGCAAGTTGCCTTTGTTTGCAGACTTGACAAACTGCCACAAACCTCTCCTTTCAGCCTCCATGAAGCTAAGCAGCTGCTGCGGCGGATCTTTCAGCCTCTGACTTGTGTCCCCACCCCCCACCCCACCCCCGGCTAAAAGGATGAAACCATGGGCCTGAGCGTCTCCTGTCTGAAAGGTAAGGGCGAGACTCCGCTCCTCCGTGGGGAAGGGAAAAAATGCTGAGAGGGAGGAATGGCTTGGGATGGTCTTTGAGAGATTTGGGCCAGGAAGCTGGAGGGAGAGATAGCAGCCAAAAGAGCACTTAGACCTCTTCTCGGCTTCTGATTCATCAGGAGCTTTTCTCAGCAAGAAATGCATGGTAGTGCTGAGGCTGTTTCCACGTGGATGTAAAAGTGGCCTCTCCCGACTAAGAAGGGTGTTGGGTGTTTATTGAAGACACTTTACTTTTCAAAGGGGTTCACTCAAGTATGTTTGTTTGGGTTTTGTTAATGCTATGTGGGTTGAAATGTGGCAAAGAACAATTCCTCTTTAATACAAAACGGTGCTTTTCAGCCTTGGCAACTGGAAGATGGGTGGACTTCAACGCCCAGAATTCCCCAGCCAGGTTGCTGGGGGGAAGAGGAAAGGAAAGGAAAGGAAGGGAAAGGAAAGGAAAGGAAAGAGGAGAGGAAAGAAGAAAGGAAAGAAGAAAGGAAAAGAAAGGAAAGGAAAGGAAGGGAAAGAGGAAAGGAAAGGAAGTGAAAGAGGAAAGGAAGGGAAAGGAAAGGAAAGGAAGGGAAAGGAAAGGAAAGAGGAGAGGAAAGAAGAAAGGAAAGAAGAAAGGAAAAGAAAGGAAAGGAAGGGAAAGGAAAGGAAAGGAAGGGAAAGAGGAAAGGAAAGAGAAAAGGAAAGGAAAGAGAAAAGGAAAGGAAAGGAAAGGAAGTGAAAGAGGAAAGGAAAGAAAAGAGGAAAGGAAAGGAAAGGAAAGGAAGAAGGAGGGAAGGAGAGAAGGGAGGGAGGGAGGAGAAATGTTATTCTATTAAACCCTTCCAGACTAGTTAACTAACTTGTTAAAGATTAGAGAAAGGTCTCAAGAACAAAAAGTGTTCCAGCCTCCTAATGTTTCAGATGGGATTTGTTGGCTGGGGAATTCTGGGGAGCTAAAGTCCACCCATCTTAAAGTTGCCAAGGTTGAAAAACACTGATATAAAACCTACAGAGTCTTCTAAACATATGCAGAGTGTCTTTATTTTAGCTATGCTGTACAGAGCCAGGCTTTGACCAGGCTGAGCTAAGACCTCAACTTTAAACATTATTATTTTGGGGCGGTTATGTTTATAGAGTTGCAATCGTGTTCAGCAAAAGGTTACTTTCGTTGTTGTTTTTTTGTTTTCAGTTGTTCCCCCCCCCCTACTATTTAGAGCTGTTTCCTTTGGCTGTAAAGTTGTTTAGTTTGGATGGATTTATTTTATGTCTGCATTTATGTGCCTTCAATACTTCTGGAGGAAATTGTGTGTGTGTGTGTGTGTGTGTGTGTGTGTGTTTTTAACAACTTTCTCCCAGATCCAAGGAGAAAAGGGACAACCTCTGGGTGTTGCAAACTAGTTTGAAGGGTTGCGTGTTACCCATCCAGATAATTTGTTAAGTAGAAATGGCAGAGCCGTTTCCCGAAATGTGTCTTCTCCACAGTGAAGTGAAACACGGGACTCATGGAGAACCGAAAGCAAAGCAGCTGCTGGCTCAATTGCCCGTCTTTTAGCCTTTCGGAAAAATTGGGCAAAGACCTTTGGCACCGTTTCACTCCAGCTTGGCTTTCTAAGCAAGAAGGTTTTATGACTCCTTGAACAGGAGCCCACATCTGCACCCCCTCTTCACTATCTCCCTCCCCCACCCACTTAAAATCAAAAGGAATTCTTGGAAATTGGCAGAGTCCTGCAGCACCTGTGGATGCAAAACAGAGGGAGAGGGAGAGGAGAGGGAGAGGAGAGGAGGGGAGAGGAAGGGAGAGGGAGAGGGAGAGAGAGGAGAGGGAGAGGAGAGGAGGGGAGAGAAGAGGAGAGGGAGAGGAGAGGGAGAGAGAGGAGAGGGAGAGGAGAGGGAGGGGAGAGGGAGAGGAGAGGAGGGGAGAGGAAGGGAGAGGAGAGGGAGAGGAGAGGAGAGGAGAGGGAGAGGGAGAGAGAGGAGAGGGAGAGGAGAGGGAGGGGAGAGGGAGAGAGAGGAGAGGGAGAGGAGAAGAGGGGAGAGGAAGGGAGAGGGAGAGGAGAGGAAGGGAGAGGGAGATGAGACGAGACGAGAGGAAGGGAGAGGAGAGGGAGGGGAGAGGAGAGGGAGAGGAGAGGAGGGGAGAGGAAGGGAGAGGAGAGGGAGAGGAGAGGGAGAGGGAGAGGAAGGGAGAGGAGAGGGAGAGGGAGAGGAGAAGAGGGGAGAGGAAGGGAGAGGGAGAGGAGAGGAAGGGAGAGGGAGAGGGAGACGAGACGAGAGGAAGGGAGAGGAGAGGGAGGGGAGAGGGAGGGGAGAGAGAGAGGAAGGGAGAGGGAGAGGGAGAGGGAGAGGGAAAAGATTCAGCCTGGGTCAGTCACTGGGACCAAAGGTTTATTTTTCCAAGCTTTCGAGTTCGTGCTGGGGCCCATCCTCTCTCTCCAGATTAGCTGCACAGGGCTGTTCTATGCATTGCATTTATATGATACCTTGCTGTATGTAGCTTTTAGTTGCTAATTAGGGTATTGATGGCTAGTTATTAAGTCGCTGGTTGTTGTTTCCTTGTGCCGCTGCTCAGCTCCTAAGTGCCTGACAAGCTGTTCGTAAATCAGCACTCCTGTTGACTGATAGGGGGCTCCTTTCCCAGGCTTCCATCATTTCCCCAGCCTTTTTTTGTCCCTGCTTGGCCAACAATTGTAGTAGCTGCAAAACTGAACTGAGAAAGAGAAGTTCCCAGAGGATGGGGGCTGTAGCACGAGCCCAAAAGCTTGGAGGAATAAAGCCTCTGGTCCTGATGACCAGCTCAGATTGGATCCTGCAGCGTTATCCTGGGACACAGATTGTTCACCCTCATTTGCAAGGAATAAGAGTCGCATCCACCCCGAGCCTAGATGGAAGCCCGAGAGGACCGGCCAATGGTCTTTGGAAGTTGCTCACCACCCACCATCCCCCTCCCCAATTTGGATTGTCTGGGTCGTCAGAAGGCTCAGCACCCCCAAGAGGCTGCTTCCTTTGGCACTCCAAAGAGGCGGGTTGCTTTTAAAACGACTTTAAAAGCCAGCCCGGGTGAAGAGGGAAGGCTGGCTCCTGGCCTGAAAGTGGGAAAGGCGATGCAGAGGCCAACCCCCACTCCCCCCCACCCCAACACAAGCCCTGCTCCGAGTAATGGGAACATATCCTGCCAGCCCCTGCCTCGCCTGATGGTCCAGAGCCGGCTAGATGAGTGAGTTGCAGGAGGAGGCAGCTGAGGGAGACCCAAGAGTGCCCTCCAAGCTGGGGGTGGAGGCAGAGGAAGAAGGGAAGCCCCAATTCACAGAGTACTCTCCTCCTCTTCCATTGCTGCTGCTGGTGCTGCTTCCTCCTCCTCCTCTTCTTAAAGGGCCATTTACTTCTCCTCCTCCTCCTCCTCCTTTCCCCATCCCTATTCCTCCTCCTCTTTCACTTTCTCCTTCTTCTCCTTTTCTTGCTAATCAGTCCTTCTGCTGCTCCTTCTTCTCCTCCTTTTCTCCTCCATCTATTCTCCTTCCCCTCTTTCTCTTTCTCCTTCTCTCATCTACCATTCCTTCTCCTTCTTGCTCCACCTCCTCTTATTTCTTCTCTTCCATCTTCTCCTTCTCCTCTCATCTACCATTCCTTCCTCTCCTCCTTCTCCTTCTTCTTATTTCTTCTCCTCCTTCTCCATTTCTTCCACTACCCCCTCCTTTTCTTCTTCTTGAAACCCCATTCATAAGGTTCTTCTTCCCCTTCTTCTCCTCCTCCTCCCCCCCCCTTTTCAACGTGCTCCATTCTCTCGCTGGGTAATTGGGACAAATGCTAAATATTGCATTGCCCATTAGCTTTTCACTGCTGCGCAGCCCCGGTGCCAGCAGGTGCTGTCAGCTTTAATGCAGCGTTAAAGGCCTGGCGCCTGCTGATTCCCCTTCCCAGGGAGGTCTTCTTGCATGGGGGGGGGAGGGATGGGGGGAGGAGCTGACTGGCTCCCCGCATCCCAGAGAGCCATGCTGCAGCTACAGGACCGTTCTGTGCACCATAGATGCCCCCTTTGGGATGACAGTTGGGTTTCAAAGCTGCCATTCAGAGGAATGTGTCTCTTCCCGAGAAGGATCTGCTCTGAGGCAGGTAGAGAGCCAACAGGTGCAGCAATCAAGGTATGCATCCCTAGGGAACTTCTGTCTCCTTGGCAAATGCTCCCTACACTGCATATTATGTGCGTTGCCCCAGGAAATTCCATTCTGAGTCCTTTGTTTTTCCCAAGTTTGCTTTTTAAGACACTTCATTCAGTACAAGCAGCCAGAATAGCTCTGCACATCCAGCCAGTGAAATCACAGCAGCACCTGGTTGAGATTCGCTGATTAAAGAAACTAACCAGGATCAGATCTGCTTTGTCCTTGGGTGGGAAGCCCAGGACTGTCAGCTGTCCAGAAACTCTGTGGAGCAAAACACATGGGCAAGTTCGTGGAGTGGTCAGGAATTAAGCTTAGCCTGCAGGAAATAGATTTGGCTTTTAGCCATAGCAGATGGCAGAGCTTGGCTGACCTTGGCTGAGGCACCTGAACAACAGGTGAAGCTTCAGTTGTTTCCATCACAGTGACCAGCCTGACTTTTTAAGTCCTGCAGATGCTGCTCATTTCTTTGCATGTTGATATCACCCAAAACAAATTTTAACTGCTGGAAGAAAAATGAACTCATCTAACCAATGTGTTTCCTTTTCAATGCTAGACTGAAGTTTCTTTTCCTTCCTTCTTTTCTTCCTTCTTACTTTCTTTCCTTCCTTCCTTCCTTCCTTCCTTCCTTCCTTCCTTCCTTCCTTCCTTCCTTCCTTCCTTCCTTCCTTTCCCTCTCTCTCTCTCTCTCTCTCTCTCTCTCTCTCTCTCTCTCTCTCTCTCTCTCTCTCCACCCCTTGTTATTATGATTTAGAGCAGTGTTTCCCAAACTTGACAATTTTAAGGCATGAGGACTTCAACTCCCAGAATTCTGGGAGTTGAAGTCCTCATGCCTTAAAATTGTCAAGTTTGGGAAACACTGATTTAGAGAGCTGGGTCTTTCCATAACATGTCTGAAGTAGGATAACTTGAGTGTGGTCTTTTGATCTTTCAGTGAGAATGTTGAGTTCATTTCCTTGATGATTCTTTGCTTAGTTTCCTTGACTGTCCGTGGTTTACTCTAAAACCAAGTTTTCAAAGAGCCAACGCTCTTCCTATCCTGGCTTCTTCAAAGCCCAACTTCCTTTGCACAGTTCTGATCTTGGTCCATCATAGCATTGGAATATCTGTTCAAATGCCTGGATGGTGCTTTACCAAGTGCTCCTCTGCAGCATATTCCTTGATGGCTTAAACGGATAATAACTTGAATTTTCTAAACCCCACCCCTTGCCCCAACCCCTGATAATCAGTGACACCATTTCATTTTTCACTTTAAAGAAAGAAAGATACCCCCATCAAAAGGTGGCCTTGAAGGCTCAACTTCAAACCTAAATCAGCTTCACTGCATGGGAAAGGGGGGGGGTTGAGAAGGCCTGACCCCTCCCTCCCACCCTTTGCATCATCAACCCAAGTCCTAAAGCCATTAAGTGTTATCCACAAGGTTTGCTGACGTGGCTCCAACAGTCGCCCTGCCTCGTGAACGTAGCAGGGACCAAGCCTAGCCCTTTATGCGTAAAAGGCCAGGGGCTTGCTCTGGGCTCCCTGCAAATGCATTTGTAAATTGCATCCGTTGGGGGCACTAAAAATTTTGGCTTCGGGCCCCTAATGCAGGTTTATCCACCAGCTGGAGAGCAAGACCTCGTATTGATCTCCAAACAAACAGTTCTCTTGTTAATAGCCTGTTGAGCCTGTTCTGCTTAAATATGGCAAGCCGGGAAGGGAGAGAGGTTGCGAAGTACGTCTTGAGTGACGCAGGCTCTCCTATCAAAGCGCCGCTGAAGTGGGGACTTGTGCAATGGGGCAGCTGTTCTCTTGTGCAAATCCCTTCGTTGACAGCACAACCCAGGCACTAGGTGGCCAAGTCTAAGCACATGGCTTCAAAAATAAGACCTCCAAGGAAAAGCAGACTGGTGTATTCTTAGTTTAATATTAATCTCTTGTTTTTCTGCCCGCTTCACTCCTATTCAGGATAGGATAGGACAGGATAGGACAGGACAGGATAGGATAAAAATGGGATAGCATAGCATAGCATAGCATAGCATAGCATAGCATAGAAATAGAGTAGAATAGGAAATAGAACAGAACAGAACAGAATAGAATAGGAAATAGAATAGAATAGAATAGAATAGAATAGAATAGAATAGAATAGAATAGAATAGAATAGAATAGAATAGAATAGAATAGAATAGAATTAAGCTATTTTCCAAAGCACCTGAAGGCAGGACAAGAAGCAACGGGTGGAAACTAATCAAGGAGAGAAGCAACCTAGAACTAAGGAGGAACTTCCTGACAGTGAGAACAATCAACCAGTGGAACAGCTTTCCTTCAGAAGTTGTGAGTGCTGAAGAGAAGGACGAGGGGGGACATGATAGCAGTGTTCCAGTGTCTCAGGGGGTGCCACAAAGAAGAGGGAGTCAAGCTATTCCCCCAAAGCATCTGAAGGAAGGACAAGAAGCAACAGAGGAAAACTAATCAGGGAGAGAAGCAACCTTGAACTAAGGACAGTTAGAACAATTAACCAGTGGAACAACCTGCCTCCAGAAGCAGTAAATGCTCCAACACTGGAAGTTTTTAAGAAGAGACTGGACAGCCACTTGTCCGAAATGGTGTAGGGTTTCCTGCCCGAGCAGGGAGTTGGACTAGATGACCTCCAAGGTCCCTTCCAACTTTACTACTATTACTAGAATAGAATTCTTTATTGGCCAAGTCTGGTTGGACACACAAGGAATTTGTCTCCGGTGCAGAAGCTCTCACTGTTCCTACAAGTAATACTGATAAATCATGATAACAATACATTCATCACAAATCATAAGATGCAAGATGTAGTGACAGTCATAGAATACTAGCTGAGCAACAACATAAATCATACTAGCATACTAAAAACAATATAAATTGTAAGGTACAAGCAACAAAGTTATAGACAAAAGAAGATAAGGGGAGGTAATAGGAAAGGCGAGGAGAATCAGAGTAATGCAGCTTTACTAAGTGGTTTGACAGAGTTGTGTTCAGTCATGAGTTGACCCCTTTAGTCTGTGGAAAGATCTCTGTTAAGAGGTCAGCTGCCACAAGATGCACACGTGGTCCTCTTTCAGGTAGGATCCCAACCACAGGCATTCTTGGAAGGTTGCTTTACCCAAACAGTCCTGTCCCTCACTGCTGATGGAATCTGCTAGATCTCTTCGCCTTTGTCTTCCCTTCCCCACATCCCAAGTGAGCCTAGGGAGGATTCCTAGCTCCCCCTTCGCCCTGATTCCTCCTGGCATGTTTCCTCTGGGTCAGGAAAAGGTCATGTCTCCTGAATTAATCCTATTATTAGGCCAGGTCAGTCCAGAGGCGGTCATCCCTCGCGTGGCCACGAGACGGCGCCCGTACAACGTGTTTTGACTTTGTGGCTAGCAAAGAGGTGGGACGCCCATCATTTCTGGTTGAATATCATTGCATAATTTATATTCATTTATGCCCATCTCATTAAAGATCTTCTAGAATCATCCTTACATCATGATGAAGGCACACCATACGAGAAGACTGCCCACTTGGGCATGGCAGATCTTGGCTCTCCAAGCTCACCTTGACTGCACGGGCAATGACTTAGGAAGCGTTGGGGACTCTATCAGGCTGCAGAGAGACTCGGGGATGGGCTATCAATTATAGGTCCTGGGGTGACTTTTAGAGCAAAGGGGGGACCATCTGGGTCCTTTGGGAAATGATTTCCTCTCTCGATTGCCACCAGGTGCCACCAGAAGCATCGGGATGATCCTCGCTTTCTCTCTCTTTCAGGCTTCAAGATGTGTGTAAGCGGGGCTGGGGTCAGCAGCAGCGAGGTGGCGGTCATGGCTGAGAAAAGACTAAGGGTCCCGGATATTATTATCACCCCTCCGACCCCCACGGGGAAGGCCCTCTTGAGAGACCCCAGCCTGGAGGGCGATGAACCCCAAGACAACTGCTGAGCCAGAAGGCAGAGATGTGGCCTGCTGTCTCCAGGCCAAGGAGAAGGGGCCCTCCCTGGCATTGCTAGAGAACGTGGCTCTCCACCATCTTGCTCAGGAACTTTCCCAGCCTCTTGAGTTTTGCAAACTCCTCCCATTTCTTCTCCCCTTGCCAGGCTGTTTAAAAATGGACCAACATCTCCAGATATACCTCACTCACACTTGCGACCATGGCACTGTTGCAGACCCGTAACAGGCAAAAGGTCCTTCAAGGAGTCCTCCAAACCGATTGTCCACTTGGAAGAAGACCTACGGTAATGGTTAAGATGGTGGCACAATGGATGGGTGGTGGCTCTCAGGTTCTTGATAGTGGTGTTGGTCAACTTGGACCCAGCTGAGGTCATTGTCAGAAGAGAAAGGACACTGACTTACACAGAAAGTCCAGGTCCTCTGGTGGTATCTAAGAGCAGATTTAAGGGGAAATGTGATGGTTCCAAGAGCAAACAAGGTCATATGAATTTTTTGGGAGGGGGTGGGTTGCTGCTGCTGCTCCATCTCCTATTTGGATGGTCTCTTCTTCTGAGAAACACTTAAGTTCTCATTGGTTTCTTCTGCTGTGTTCAAAGTGGACCTGGATAGGGCAACCCTTCCAGCAGATGTCCCTCTGCAAAGTGGGACCAAAGGCTACTTGAGCAAAACAATCCAACTTTGCTTTGCTCCAAGATCCTGAGTCGATGGAGGAAAAGTGCTCTTGGTTCTCTCGCCTGATCCTTCTTTTTTGGATAGAGGTGGTCTCTAGGTCTTAGAAGCAACTAAGGAAGAACCTGGGAATGTGTTTTAGTAAGACTTGACCCTAAACGGGGAACTTTCCCAAGAGTAAAGAAGCCATAGGCCTGGTAGGGAATCAACAGATTTGTCATAATTTTGCTAGCTCAGTTAGGAATTGGGCTAGTTGGGTGGGGTTGGCAAGGAGGGTTATGGAGATTCTGCTTACTTTGAGCTCCTCCAAGAACAGGGTGCTGTACTTGCAAGCCACGTGGTGTGGGGCAGGATAGGGGCCATATCTGACTGTCTCCAACCTAGCATCTGTCCTCTCCTTTTGTTCTGGGTGCTGTTCTTCTCCTGGTGTCTCTAGAAGGTGCCAAGATGAAGAAAGCATGCTAGGCTGATGCCCTCAGGAGCCATACTGACTGGGAGCGATGGTTGCTGTGGTCCAACGCATTGGAAGGATACCAGATTGGAGAAGACAGACTCAACTCACAGTATAAGGAAAGCAATGGAACCTTAATTTCCAAGAATTCGGTTTTCCAGACCTCTTGCCACGAGTGAAACTCCATAGTATTCCATAGATGGGTTGACTTCATTGTACAAAAATGTGATTTGCACCCATTTGCATCCCTTGTGTCATCTGCAATGATGCACCCTTGAATTTAGTAGTGTAATGGATGCCGCTTTCCCTAATCAAAACAAGGTTTCATTAAAAAGGGAGAAGGGAAGTGATTTTCATCCAGCCAGAAAGATTCTCTGTTGGAGCTCCAAGGGAATGTTGTCTTCCTTGCCACCTCATGCCTCAATGGAAAGAAGTCACATGGACTTCATTCCCAGCCAATGAGAGAGAAAAATAGGGAGTTTGCTATGGATAGAATGTTTGTATCCAAGCTGAATGGCATAAGAAATCACCGTTGGTTTCCATCCAGACTGACTTCATCAAATCCTTGGTTGAATCAGAATCAGACTAGGATAGAGTTGGAATGGACCTTGGAGGTTTCCTAGTCCAGCCCCCTGCTCAAGCAGAAGACCCTATACCCTTCCAGACAAGTGGCCATCCAGTCTCCAACCTCCAGTGTTGGAGCACTCACAACTTCTGGAGAGAAGCCGTTCCACTGGTTGATTGTTCTGTCAGGAAACTTCTCCTTAGTTCCAGGTTGCTTCTCTCCTTGATTAGTTTCCATCCGTTGCCTCTTGTCCTGCCTTCAGGCGCTTTGGAAAACTGAATACAGAATAATAGAGTTAGAAGGGGTGTTGAAGGTCTTCTAGTCCATCCTTTGCTTGAGCAGGAGGTCCTATACCATTCCAGACAAATAGCTGTCGGGTGACGAACTTGTTCTTTTCCATAGCCAGATTTTTACTCTTGATCAAAGGCCTCAAAACTTTCTTCGCCAACTTTGTGCCATCAAGCAATTAAAACCAACTCAATCCGTTCTACACTCAGGATGAAAGACGATTGACTTATTCCAGATGGAATGATTGTTGGAATAAAACCCCAAGGATTGTTCCCCGAGTCTTCCAAGCTCGGCTATATAAGATGGGGTGCAGTTTCTCCCTCTTATCCCGTTTTATAATGGTTGCAAAACAGACGTTCGGTTTTCAATCGTTTTTTCATGCCTCCAGGTTCATTCGAATGAGATGCAAATGTTTTAATTGAATGCGAGGTCTGACTGAACATTTTGTTTCCGATTTAGCATGAATTGGCATGTTCTGGTGTTTTTTTTTTTCCTTTCAAAAGTCATGTTTTCCAAGTTTTGGAATGGTGGAATATTTAAGCATCAATATAAAGCATCACAGTTTTATTACACCACATTAAACATTTTCCACCTGATGTTTATGTTAAGTCATTTATTCTATTCAGAAAAAAGCTCTCTTGTCTCTCCAACTGAAGTATCAGTTCCAATTCCTTATACTTTATGTCCAAAATGGTGTGTGTTTGATTTTGCAAACATGTGCTGGCTGGGGAATCCTGGGAGTTGAAGTCCACACGTTCTCAAGGTTGAGAAACAGTGATCTAAGATCTTCCCATAAAACAATGGAGCATCCTTTTCACAGGTGTCACGCTCAAATGTCTATGGAGCTTCTCAACCACCCAGGTCATGGCTCCGAAAGGTGTTTTTTTAAAGGCAGCTGGTGTTTCTTGGGGTTTTTTTCCCCTTGAAAATGTTTCGCTTTTCATCCAAGAAGCTTCTTCTGACTGAATGATGGGGAATGGAAGGATTTCTATTCTTTGTAGTCATTTGGCTGTTAGCATCTGAGAGTCATTCAGGCCATTTGGGGGTTTAACCTGTAGGCACCAGGTGATCTGCTTTGGGGGTTCCTCAATGTGAAGGTTGAAGAGACACCAAAATAGAATACAATTCTTTATTGGCCAAGTGTGGTTAGACCCACAAGGTATTTGTCTCTGGTGTATAAGCTCTCAGTGTACATACAACAACAGAGTGATAGGTCATAGATCATATTACAATCATTAATCATAAGATACAAGTGATAAATCATAGATACCAATAGAAGGTAGTAGGAAAGATGAGAAGATGAGGAAGAGGAGAAGATGGGAAGGATAATATCAATACAGTCCTCCTACAAAGGAGGCAAATACTTTGGCCAATCAATAGTGAGTTGGAAAAACTGCAACTTTTCCCTTGCAATTCCAGCCAGGTTGGTCCTACCTGGCCCCAGTGCTCTCCATCCTGCCTAGGATGCACGACTCAGCCTTGAGCTTCTGAAGGCCAGATCACATCAAGACCCTGGGGGGGGGAGGGTATGCGGGGGGGGGTGTTAGGGGAGAGAGGCGGTGTTTAAAAACAGATGGAAATGCAATTTTTAAAGCAGCAGCAGCAGATGGTAAAAGGCAGGGAAGCACATCCACACTGTGCCAAAGTCAGTTGCGAGCTTTCGTGTCTTCCACTAAGATCGGGCAATGGCTCCCTTGAGGAAGGCAGGTGATGGGTTTTCGAGGGGTAGTTTATTATGTTTATTATTTTTCCCCCTCGGCTGCAAATGCTGGAAATAAAAAAAAAAAAATGCTGGGGCTGCAGACAGGAACACAGGGAGGATTTCCGGAGGGGTGGGGGGTTTTCTGGATGGTGTGAGATCAAAGGTGAATAAGGTGTGCTTTTCAGGCGCTGTTCAGTAACCCTCGCGCAGGAATGGTGGACCAGGTGAAAGGAATCCCCCCCCACTCTCCCTCTCCTGATGGATCTAACTGGGAAGGCTGCCAACCAAGTACTACATATATCTCTGGCGCCCTGCCCAAAATGCTACTAGCGTGGGCAATTTGTACAAGCAAACTCCTTCAGTGCTGGGCTGCTCATTGCAAGAGACTAATGAATAATGAAAACAGCATCTCACTTCATTGTTTTGGTTAGAAAGTGGTTTCTGTGCCAGACCTCTAAGGTTTTTGGTCCTTTCCCCGTCTTTTATGGCTGACTGAGCAGCAGAATTGGTGCCGTGATGAAGGCACCAGGCTAGGAGACGGGGGGGGGAGGGAGAGTTCTAGTCCTGCCTTGGGCATGAAGCCAGCTGGTGATCTTGGGCCGTCACCCTCTCTCAGCCCTAGAAAGAAGGCAATGGTAAGCCACTCTTGAAAAGCTGGCCTAAAAATCGTGCAGAGGTTTTTGCTTTTTTTTCCAGGCAGTCGCCAGCAATCAAGACTGATTTGAAGACACCCAAACAAAACGAAAATATTTTAAAAGGACAGGTGTTTGTTTTATGAGCCTCGCTCAGGTAGAAGAAACGTCTGTGCCCTAAACTTGCTGGCAACGTTTGGGAGGTGCAGCAGAGCCCCCCCATCATATTGCCAGCGCTGAACTAAGATTCACCCGGCCACCCCATCCGCAGGATGGAATGGAAATACTTCTTTTGTTCAGGAAGCAAAATGCCTTAGCAGTAAATGGTTGGCTGGGGGATTCTGGGAGTCCACCCAACTGCTCAAGTTAAAGCGAGCTGAACTGGGGAATTCTGGGAGTTGAAGTCCATGTATCTTAAAAGTTGTTGAGATTGAGAAACACCAGTTTACACCTTGTATTTACAATACAAAGTGCAAAGCAGGATACAGCCTTTCCTACCCTCCTGGGCTGGGCCTGATGGGATTTGTAGTCAGCTCCTTTCCCCAAACCTCTGGAAAAGAGATTTGTTAGAGGGGGAAAAAAAACGGTCTTACCATTTACTACAAAGCCCAAAGATGCTGAATGGGGAATTCTGGGGACTGAAGTCCAAACTTCTTTAAGTTGACAAGTTTGAAAAACGCAGATTTAGTTTTAATTGCCCCCCCCCCAAAAAAAATAATAAGTCTGCAGGAGGACCTGTGCTTCTTGTGGGCCATTCATTTGGGTTTCTCGGGGACTCATTATTGTTGCTTTATTTGCATTGCTGGCCTCTTTTTTCCCACTGCACAAATAAAAAGCGTCATTTTTTTTTCAATGCAAGATCGCTGCGCATTTTTCCAGCAACAGCTGTTCAAACAACGTAGCTTTTAGGCCCCGCCCACATCGATGCCCACGCCCATTTTGGGTTTGTTAATGAAATTTTAATGCTGGGACTAGAGCCAATCAGAGAAAAGAGGAAGAGCCAATGAGGAAACAGTGCGACCGCTGTCAGTTAGCGGGAAAAGGCGGGATCACTCGCTGTGGTTTATGAATGACTAATGAATGGGCGGGCCTCGATTTTTTTTTTCTATCCCTCCAATAGCAGCTCGTGTTGACCCGAGGAACGCGAAACAAACGTGGATAGGAGGCTTGTCATTGGCTAGTAGGAGAAAAAGGGCAGGGCTTCCCTTAGCTTTCCCTCAATGACTAGAAACCGCCGCCTCCCGAGGGAAAGTGAGAGCGCGCGCGAAAAAAGCAGGGGTTTTCATAGGGTGAGAAATAAACGGTGGGCGGGGCATTGATTTCCCTTCCAACCAATGGCAGAAGGAGGGGAAAGCGCGCGCGAGGAAAGCCGAGGCGGTCATAGGACGAAGCACGGAATAAAGGCGGGGCTTCCTCTTTCCAACCAATAGCAGGCGCAATCGCCAGGGTGAGCGGTACCGTGGCGGCCATCGGCTTTCTACTCAGTCTACGGCGAGTCGGATTTGGCGGCTTCGTTTTCCGGCCTCTTTTACCTTCCTGCCTTCCTGATGGATGCCGCCGAAGTCGAATTCCTGGCGGAGCGAGAGATGGTCACCATCATCCCCAACTTCAGCCTGGACAGGATTTACCTCATCGGGGTGAGGCCTTCGGAACTACAACTCCCATGCTCCTTTATTCCCTTGCCGGTGGGGGTTATGGAACTGTAGTCCCAACACAAGATGCCCGTTCTTGTCCGGGGAGGGGTGGCTACGTTTCATCTCCCATCAGCCAAGGACGGCTTGTGGCTGAGGATTATGGGGGTTGTAGTCACAGACGTTTAGGCTGCCCTCGGCCCCGACCCGGGTAGGCACTGGTAGGGGATTATGGGGGCTTTACGGTTAATGCTTTTAGGGTGCCCTCAGCTGCTCCCATCAGAGTATATGTTGGCAAGGCATTGTGGGATTTGTGGCCCCCAAAGTTTACTGCAAATGATCCCTTTTCGCTGTGGGGGGGCGGGGGGGAGGGAGTGGAGAGTTCCATCCCCATCGGCCCCAACTTCCATGGCTGGGGATGATGGGGTTTTTGATTGAACCCATTGAGGGTCAGTCCCACCAGGGTGTCATGGCAAGGGATGGTGGGTATTTGTGGCTCCCCCAATATTCTTCCCTTGGATGCCTATGGAGAGAGGGATTTTCATGCCCATCATCCTCAGCTAGGGCAGCTTCTTCCCTCTCCCCATAGGTTTCCAAGGGAAGAATATTGGGGGGGGGCCATAAATACCACAATCCTTTGCCAAAACACCCTGGTGGGACTGATGGAATTTGATAGGTGGGCCAGACTTTTTGGGGGGAGGAGTTGTAGTGAGCCAGACTCTTTTGATGGGAGGGGGAGTTGTAGATGGGCCAGACTTTTTTTGGGGGGGGGGGAACCATTTTCAGGCCGGAGCCTCTTCTTGAGTTTCTCTCTCTTTTGCAGGGCGAGCTGGGCCCCTTCAACCCAGGGCTGCCTGTGGAGGTGCCTCTCTGGCTGGCCATCAACCTGAAACAGAGGCAGAAGTGTCGGCTGGTGCCCCCAGACTGGATGGACGTGGGTAAGGGGTGACTCGCTGGCCTCCTTGCACCCTGGACACTGTGACTGATGTTCCCCTGCCCAGTTTTCCTTCAGCCCTTCCCGCTGTTGCCCAGGAAGCCAGCAGGCTAGACATCCTTCTCATTATATTATTGATTTATACCCTGCCTTTATTTTTGTTATAAATAGCTCAAGGTGGTGGAACATGCCTAAATTTCCTTCCTCCTATTTTCTCCAAACAACAACCTTGTGAGGTGGGTTGGGCTGAGAGGGGAACTAGCCCAAAGTCACCCAGCAGGCTTTCGTTGCTTAAGGCAGAACTAGAACTCACTGTCTCCTCGTGGTTGGCCTGAAATCAACCAATTGGCCTTCATGCCTAAGGTGGGACAAGAACTCAGGAGACTTCTCGTGATTGGCCCAAAGTTACAGCTGGTTTTCATGCTTAAAGCAGGATTAGAACTCACCCTCTCCTGGTTTCTAGCCTGGATTTTAAAATAAGTACTGCTGAAAAATTTCTGTTGCAGCTCTTATTTTTTTAATTCCTTTATAGAAAAGTTGGAGCAAATGCGAGATCAAGAACGCAAAGAGGACACTTTCACCCCAATGCCTAACCCTTTTTACATGGAATTAACTAAACTGCTGCTGAACTAGTGAGTAGGTTTCTTATTTGTAATAATATTCTTTGGAAATGCAGCAAATTCTAATTCTGCCAGAGCACAAAAAAACCCTAGGATTGCGTTAGATTTGAAATTGGAAATGAGCAAGAACTCTACAAACTGCAAATGCTCCAGAGCACTTTTCTAATCTGTTTGCATCTTACTTTATTTAATATATAATTATGTAATAACATATATTGCTTAACAGTTTTGGTTTGTATTTAGAAGCTAATTAATATTGTTTACATTAAGGATCTCTTTTAATAATGTGTGACCTCCTACCTTTTTGTAATCTCACCAATCTATTTCTTTTCTGCATTAGTGCTGCAGATAATATTCCAAAGGCTGATGAGATAAGAACTTTGGTTAAGGATATCTGGGACACTCGAATAGCGAAACTTCGTGTATCTGCAGATAGTTTTGTTAGACAGCAAGAAATTCACGCCAGGGTAAGAGCAACCTTCTGAAAGGATTGAAGTCATTGGAAGAATATTTGTGAAAATGAAATTGATAGTGAAAGTGATACTACTGTATTTCAGTTCTAAAATATTAGAATATATTTTTATTACTTGACAGCAGTGATAGGAGAACTATGTAGTCCTGCAGGCAGAGGTTTTGTACCCAAATTCATGGAAACATACAATTGTATGTACTTATGGATTCACTGCAGCCTAATGAAATGATGACTTGTGTTGTATATGTGGCTGTGTATCCAAATGCATATTCCTCTTACTTATGCCCATAATGAAAGGGTGTGTTTTGTAATATAAGTACACATTTGTGGCTATGTACTTTTTAGTCAAAGATTTGTAAGTTGATTATCATTTAACGGAATGGTGGGCATGCATTTTATTCCTCATTTATGCCACGTCCCGATATATTGGACTGCAACTTACATCATTCCCTGCCATTCTAAAACTGAATGGATTATAACATTTCATTATGGGTGCAGATCACAATTATTGAACCATATTCCGAATTCTTTTAGCTGACATGGAATATAAATTGAAGGAGTGTAATGAATTATGCTTACAGAAGTCTTGTTTTGGGGCATTTGGGGATCAGTTCAAGCTCTGGGAAAGAGGAAAATGTATAGAGAAATTTCAAAACTAAAGAAGAAAGGCAAAAAAATTGAAAAGGGTTTAATGAAATCCAATCTATGTTATCTTTTAGTTTTTGTCAGATGCTAACTTATCGTCAATCATGGGAACTAAAGACTGGCTTACTTTTAAAAAGTGAATGGTGCAACTCTGTCATTTATCTTCTTCAAATTGTGTTGTCTTTTTTTTTTAATAAGCTGGATAATCTGACTCTGATGGAGATCAACACCACTGGTGCTTTCCTCACCCAAGCTTTGGATCACATGTACAAGTTGCGATCAAACCTCCAGCTGGGAGAGAGGGTGGAATCCCAGGAGTTTTGACCGCAGGGAATTTTCATGAGAAGAATTATTCCTGTAAGCCTCCACCTCTCTGTTGTTACTGGCTTCAGAGCAAAACTGTGCTGTGGCAGATTACGATGTAATGTGCTTCATAGCATTTGCTAGTGGGGAACGAATTGATCTGCTAACGGTCATTAGCCCAATACCAAGCCAGCCTGCCAGTGTTGACGTCTTTGGCAGGTGAGGAGGACCTTTGACTTTCCTTGGCAAGCAGGCTCTTGCCCAACACACTCCCAAGTGCTGCAGGACTGCCCTTTCAGGGTGCATCAGTTGCCTGGCTTTTGTGCTAGCTTGTTTTCCTAGTGTTTGTAAGTTGGAAGAAGGAAACAAGTCAGTTGCATCTCTGATGGATGCTGTTCCTTCAAGGCCAAGTCCTTCTGATCTTTATGGAAAAGGAGATTATTTTCGTCTTCTGACTGCATAGTTCTCAGCAGCCTGCCTGGGAAGAGACTTGCACCTGGCAACTCAAACTTTACATCCAACACTGGATTTGCTGCAGTGTTACTCATTGAAATCTGCCTGTCCATCGCCTTCGTATTATAAAGGATTGTTCCCCCCCAGAGGCCACGGAGGTGATCACTGAGGGATGCTGCCTTTTTGTGTGTGTGCCTGCCAAAAAGAAAAAGAACAGCTTTATGAAGAAACGAAGCCACAAAGCCCACAGAGTTTGGCTTAGGTTCCATTTTTCTTTTAAATGCTTGTCCTGGAGACTGTGACTAAACCAGCTGTTTGCAGTACCCAGATTCTAGCTATATGAATCATATAAGCATTTTCACTGTTAGTCATAATAACACATGGTGTTAGCCATCAATTTTAAAATATTTGTAGACAGCACTTACAATGCGGGGGCAACTACAGGGATTTGCTAGTTACTATTCTATTAGGTAATGGTAAAATAAATATTTTAAAAAGCAGTACATTGCTGCAGTTGTAACTCTCTGACCCTTGTTGCTGGTTGCCCTGCAGAACATTTTAAATTCAGAAGACTGTGCTCAAGAAAATGAACATTGCTTAAAACACTGACTTGTCCCTGTTTATGAAAAAGCTTATCAAAAACTGGAAGGCTAAATATTTGTAAAGTAGAGCTTCAGTATAAGTCTTTTGCCACATACACATCCTTTTTTTCTTTAATTACTTTCAGTTTTCAACACGTATTAGAGTTTCAGTAAATTAATCTTATTCAGCAAATGAGCATCTTTACATTTGATTGTGAATTTTTTGCAGGTGAATCTTAATATACACTAAAACAACAACATATACCTTTAACCTAAGTGCTCTTAAGTCTGAGCCCACATTAACTTTTGGTGAGGAATCAAGGCTTCAACTACTAAAGCAATTGTTATGCTTGTTCAGATATAAACGTATACCATTCTTGTGTATTTCTCCACACATATATTAAGCCTACTTGAAATCCAACTTGACTGGATGCTGACTGGGATTCCTGTCCTAATTTAACCCAGATGATGTGAACACATCTTTTCATTCAGAAGGGAGTACAGTATTAGTGTGGTTGTGAGGCACTCAAGAGTAAATTGTTACTACAATGATACCACCAGTGAAACTGCTAGAAGATTGGCTCTCTTGCCCAAGCCTCCATTTGTAATACAAAGGGCTGATAGAGCTTCTATTTAACAGTGGCTGGGTGGTCTGGGAAAATAATCCTTTGTCATGATTTAGGAACATTTTATTACTTTTTTTATGTCAGAAATTACAGCCATATATTCATAAATACCTAATAACTACATTCAACAAATATATTACATTACATTTAAGTCAAAACAAGTACACTTAAAACAAGTTGAATTTGTTTCACAGCATCTACTGCCCCAGCCTGGGCCTTTGCCCTCCTCCTCTCCCCTCACGCTCTGTGCTTTTTTTGCAGAAGAAATCTTACACATGACACCAAAAGACGTCCAAGGGAGAGCAAATGAGTTCTTTTAAAAACAAAGCAAAAAAAGTAATCCAAGGGAGAGCAAATGAGTTCTTTTAAAAACAAAGCAAAAAAAGTAAGCATCGGACCAGGACATTTGTGGAGAGGGTGGGAGGGAGAACAAGATTAACTATCACAAGGATGGCTAGAAGGAAAGGAAAAACATTTGCAAAGGTGGATTGGTCCAAAGTGGGCTATTGGTTTTTTTTTTCTCCTCATGTTAGCACCTTTTAAATCTCCGTCTTTTATCTGTTCTGCATCATGGGTGGGAAAGTATTTCAAACGACACCAGGCCTACTTTGGGGAAACGGTGGTTTGCTCTGGCAGCTTGCTCGCCAATGTCTGCAGCTAGGTTGGCCTCCAACCAAGCTTGACTAAATGCACATTCATTCTTTAATCCATATCAATCAAGCCAATTGGTTCTCCTGTGTGTCCTTTAAAAAGCACACATTGGGCTTGAGGAAAACTGAAGCCACATGATGCAAAATAGAGCCGACAACCTATTTATTGGAGGGGGTGGAGAAGGGGAAAACGGTGCGATTGCACTTAGAAGGATGATTGCAGCAGCTTGGGTCCATATTGCCCCCCGCCCCTTCGCCACCGTCCCTTATCAGGAAAAACCTTGCAGTGAAAAAACCCACGATCACTATATCACGATCTTTTGAAAGACCGTTTGCTTTCGTAGCTGATAAATAGGACCGAAAATGTTTGCTCTGTGAAACCGCATCTTGGTGATCTTAAGAGTGGGACAGTGGCTTTCCTTACTGAGTCATAAATTGAGAGTGCCATTTTTCTTAGGTGGTTTTCTTTCTTCTTCACTAGGCTGTCTTACTGCCCCTTAAATGTATTCGTTGTGTTCATTTTGCCTTCTTTCATGGGTTTTGCAAATCCATCGCAAAAAAGGCCTGGACCAAAATCCTGAATATATTGTGGTCTCATAGCTGAATATTTTTTTCAGCAGCCTTGAGACCAGGGGATAAAAACCCTTTCCAAGTTTTGCTTTTTGGTAACAATGACAACAAAAAAACTTTCCCCCCCCTCCCCCTCTGTTGAAGGCAAACCTATGGTCATCTCCAAGAATCATCAGAGGCAGAAAAAGAAAATAAACTTGAGTGTCTTTCATCATTTCTGCTCTTCTTTCTCATGCTTCATGAGAGCTGATTGTCTGAGGTGATCATCACAGATGGATGTTCAAAAAGGGGCCGATTTACATACTCCTGTAAATAAATCAAGAGTTCTTGGCCACAACTAGGAACAAGACCTTTTTAAAATAGGCCACTAAATTTGCTTTTTAATGTCCCTTGTCACGCAGTTTCTTCTGAAAAATGGCTAGGACTTTGGTATTAAGAGTTGCATAGAATTGGAAAGCTTGCCAAGTGAGGTTAAGTCACCTAGATGAAGCAGCTGCCCTAGCTGAATTTATATTTCTAAGCAGCCAGGAAAAGCGTTGGGTTATCTTTCCCTGTAAGTAATCATACAGTCCTATAATGCTTTCTCCATTTGCGGTTACTTTTTTTTTTTAATATAGTGCTATAAACCCAGCATTGCACATCAGCCATTAAATCAAAGGATATGAAAAATAAAAAGAATCCGGTAAATGTTTGTTGCAAAGAGACTTAAAAATTCCAGCGTTCTCTTCCGAGTGTCCTTCAATAAATATACAAATTCAATCAATGTTCAAAGTACTGAGATTAACTTCAATCTCTCCAGGCAATTTTTGAATTGTATAAAGAGGTTGGAGAACCAAAAGGAAGAGATTGACCTAGAAGAGAGCAAAAATAGGAACTGACCCCACCCTTTGGGGGGGGTGTTCTCCCCCCAAGTCTGAAATGAAATGTACAGTGTGGTCAGTTCTCAGAGTTATTAGTGGTTTGTCAGCAAAGGAAGGCAGATGGCAGCTCAGAATTAGGCGAAATTTCCTAACTAGATAAGAGCAGTTCAAAAGTCATGGAACAGAGTTGGATTTGCCTCCACCAGCTATATCTTTTTGGGGGGGGTGTCATTTAATTTGGATATACCTTACGCAAAGGATAGACTTGGGCTCATTGGTCTAATGAAACATTGCCATCCTATGATTTTCTGGGTGATGCTGAACAGCCAGCATGCCCAACCCTGCACCTAATGGTAAAGGATGCTAGGCATTGTAGTACCGCAACTGTAGGGGAGGGCAAGTTCTCCCACTATTAAATTGCACGAAGCCACCTTTACACACAGGCTATTTCTGCACATTGCAAAAGACTTGGGCAGTTACACTGGAGGAAGAGGTGAAATGAGAAGCAGTTTTGATATAACAAGTGAAAGAAGCTTAAATGGGACTTGGGGAGTTTGTTTTGTTGTTTTTATAGCTTATGCCATGCTAGGTTGCCCATTTTGTCCCTAACGAAAAGATAACTGATTTGATAGTCAATTTCACAATTCTTTTTTTTTTTTTTTTGAAAGAATAGCTAAAGTACTCCTTAAAAGTCTGGGTTGGGTTGAGGAAATCTGTGTGGATGCCTTCCGTTTAAAAAGTCACCCAGGTCATGCTTAAAAGAAGAAACAAAATGCTAAACTCAACCAATTCTTTATACAGTCACTGTTCAGAAGTGCTGAAATGTTGGCCGTATTAAGATGGCCGGTATTCAAAGGCCGCCTACTGTACGGTAATGCTTCAAAAGGCACAGGACAGCCTGGACCACCTTTCTGTTCGAATCGATAGGAGCAGGGTGAGAGGCACCAAAGGACGGTGGGAGGGGGGCTTGTTTTCAAAGCAGCTACTTAAAAGACGCAGCTATCTTAAAAGGTCCAAAAGTGATCCTTCATTCCAGCTCTCTCATATCCTAAAGCACCTTTGGTAAAGAATTAGCACAGCCCCACTATATTTACAGTGGTACATCTGTGGATAATTTCACTTTACAGGAAAGACGGTTGTATTTAGTACTATGGTGCCTGTGAAATGCAAAAATCCAGGCAGTTTGCTGGGGTCCATGTACAAATACAGGTAGTGCTCCATTTACTGGTCCCCCAGTTGGGACCAGAATTTCCACTCTAAGCAAGGCGGTTGTTAAATGAGTCGTGCCCCATTTTACAGTCTTTTTTGGGGAGGGCATGATTGGTAAGTGAATTATGCAGCTTCCTCCCCTGAATTTGCTTAGCTGCCCGGGAAGGTTGCAAATGGTGATCACATACATGATTCTGGGATCTTGCAACCATCGTCAATGCCAGTTGGTTGCCAAGTGCCCAGATTGTGATCGGGACCCTGGGGATACTTCGATCGTTGTAATTGTGAGGGCCGATCATAACTCACTTTTTTTTTTTTTTAGTATGCGGTTGTAACCTGTTACAGACACTGTGTCAAGGACTAGCTATGACCCCCCCCCCTTGCAGAATAGGCTTCTGTCATGCCAGCAGTAGCTTCCAAGATTCTGGGTGTTTGTGTGTGAACAACTCTAATTTTAGCATGATTTTCCCTTCTTTTTCATATATTTTGTGATGATTCAGGATAGATCTTCTAAAGGAAAAAAAGAAACTACGTTCCTGAAAATTGATGCCACCAATATATGATTTTAGTTGTCGTGGGGAAAATGGACAATGACTGAATCCACTTAAACGTCTTAAATCTTGTAACTAAAATCTTAGTTGTCTCTTGTCTTCTCAACAGCAGTTAATCACAGTTGGTATTTCAAGTGCTTTAAGAAAAAGAGGAAGGGGAGGAGAGAAAGACACAAGAGAAAATGACGGGAAAAGATAGCCCGGCTTTTAGCAAGAGGCTTTCTGTTCCAGCTACTTGTGCTCCACGCTGCAAAATACCAACAGGTGATTGCACTTGCCCAGCAGAAAGCTTCCCTTTAAAATTCTTTTTAAAAAACACTTTATTATTTTATCAGGTCCTGACCAGCAGCTGTAAAAACACTAAAGCAAGTCCATTTTTTTTCCTTTTGCCAAAAAAAAAGAGAGAAAAAAGCAGAAACATATTGAAAATGGCAAGCTTTTTATAATAATAATTAAAGTAATAAAAACATACAAAACTTTTTTTTAAAATATATACACACTAAGGCTGAAGCACCTTTTTTCAACTCTTTAATTGCAAAATCTTTGTATGAAAATTCTACCCGCCGGGGTACATCATCTATGCATTGTATGTTCTATACATCTTCCCCTCCCCATGAATTAAAAGGTACCTTGTTTCGTTTATTCACTTTTTTATTTGTCAGGTTGAAGTGCACTTCCAGCCCGAAAGCTGATGGATGCATGGGAAGTCCGCGTTTGGAAGCTGCAGTTTTCTTCTACTAGATTTATTACTGTGCAGATTACGGGTTATCCAGTTCATTCTAACCAAAAAACAATGGATGTATACTGGTATTCTCTCGGACGAAGAGACAAACATATTTCAGAACAAATAAAACGGGACTCCAGTAGAGCAATCGAAGTAATATGGCAACGAAAAGGAGCACAAGTCAAGATTTTAAACCCGGCGGCCCCATCGACAGGAGGCAAACGTTAGTGTCATTGATGGAACCTCTGGATTCAACCAAGATCTTCAAACAAAAAAAACAAAAAAAGAGAGAGAAAAAAAGACGAAGATGCCGAAAGAAAATTAACCCCTTTCCAATGTCTTGAAAATGTAGACTTTCATCTAAATGGATCACTCGCAGAGTTTTGTTTTTGTTTTTTTTTTAAAAAAATCGGTTCAGAGTTCGGTTGCACTTTTTTAAGGGGGCGGGGTTCAGATTTTTCTGGCTTCCCGCCGAATCTATTTTTATTTTTTTGCTCCATGCATGGCACATTCTTTTGATTTATTTATTTATTCTTTTTTATTTATTTAAGCTTCAAACCTCCCCGTGAAAAATATTTAAATATTCCAGGTAATAAAATAGATTATTATTATTATTATTTCTATACTCTATGTTTGGCCTAGTGCAAGGGCGTGTCACCTGGGATACCCCTTGAAATAGCTCCGGGACCACTGCATGGCAGGCAACGCAAGGCACTTTCGCAAGTGATCCAGTTCGGCTTGAATCCGTTCCCTTTCCGAGACAATTTTCTGCTTCTGGTTCCTTAGTTCCTGCAAAGAAGAGAAGACTCACTTGAGACTGGTCACGTCCTCCTCCTACACTGAGGCAAGCAGGGATTTCTAGCATGGGTGTCCAACCTTGGCCATTTTTAACACTCTGGGCAATTTCAGGACTTGTGGACTTCAACTCTCAGAATTCCCCAGCCAGCTGTGCTCCCTGATGAATTCTGGGAGTTGAAGTCCACAAGTCTTGAAGTTGCCAAGACTGGACCCCCCTGATTTAGAGGATTCTAGAAAAAACAGCACCAAAAATACAACTCCTGAACCGAGATGTCACAGAAGTTTCCCCGAGTCCAAAATTTCCTCTTTTGCTTTAGCAACCATCACGTTGCCTTAGACTGAGTTGCAGAGGAGCTAAGCAAAGATGGATGGGAGACCAAGAAGAGATCTGAAGCCTGGAGTCTTAATGAGAAAATCACTCCCCTCCCCCCCAAAGGCACGGACCTCTGGGTTTGGCCAAGTAAACCCACGGATGGGTTGACTGAGCTTGCCGGAGGCACTCTTGCCCGTTTAGCTGTGAGGTGGAAGCCCTACTTACCGTCATGGTGTGTGAGAGCTGTTCTGCGGTCAGACTGAGGCTGTAGTGCTGGGCCTCTAAACGTCGGCACTGAGTTTGCAGCACTTGCCGTTCCAGGTTTTGCTCTGCGAAGATGGAATTTGAACCGGTTACTCAACTGAGAGGAGAAGGAGCCTCTTTGAACAACTGCTTTTAGTGACAATGATGTCGGCCAACTGACAAACCCATGCCAACCCAATAGGTTTGAACTATAAATAAAGCGATTTACCCCATTTCTAAGGGTCTTTTCACCTTGTACCTGTGGGAGAGGTACTTACGTGCATAAATAAAGATATTAATCTTTCCAGCTCGGATGCTATTTTGACAAAGGCACACTGGCCTAAGAACAATACTGCTGAGTGCAGCTAACACCAGCTGCTACCATGTCTGGTTCAGGCGACTTAGATGGAAAGTCTGTTTCTCAGATGTTTGGGAAACTAAATCTGGGCCCTTCCTCCCTGCCCAAACCATGGTGGGAGAGTACAACCCGCCAGATACGAAATGGGCAGAAAATAAATTTCATCTTAATTTTTTTTAAAAAAAATCATAATCTACATGTCAGAGCATTCAGACGTTAGCTTAGTGGCCTTTTGGGGGAAGAAAAATGAATTTTTCTCTGCCTTTTCCAGCAAGATGCTCCAGAATCCAATAAATAAATAAATAGATAAATGATGAGTTTTTTTCCCTTGGAGAAAAAAAAAAAGAATGGCCTTTTAACGTTCCTTTCAGAGTTAGCTTACTGGATATTATTCCACGGCAAATGGAATTTGCAACAGATTGCAAGAATGAACCCCAGCAGTCTGGTGAACGCACACTTGGGTGATGCCTGCTTCTCACTCTCCCATTTTTTTTTTTATTTTTTTTTTTTGGTAACTTGGCCAACTGAATGCTCCATATCTAGAAAACAAAGGATTATTGTTCTCAACAGATGCTTTCATTTATTAGGCTATCGCTGACAATGCCAAGCTCTGTCCCTACTCAGTAGCCATCAATCAGTAATCCTAATGGTCAATAAATCTTCTGATCTGGAGAAAGAATACTAAAGATGCAACTAGTTAATGAAAAACACCCCCTTGGAAAAGGAGTCACAACCTGCTCTGTTTTTTTCCTGAACAATAGATATAAAGCAAATATATATTGGGTGGGAATCCCCTGGACCAGTGTTTCCCAACCTTGACCATTTTAAGATGTTTGGACTTCAACTCCCAGAAATCCCCAGCTAGCACGGGAATTCTGGGAGTTGAAGCCCAATACGTCTTAAAATGATCAAGTTTGGGAAAAACTATCCTGGGCCACGGCAGCTTACCGTCAACGTGCTCTTGATAAGCCTCAAAGATTGCTTCAATCCCATGCCATTTTGGTCTGGGGTACTCCTCCTCTTCTTCCTCTTCCTCCTCTTCTTCGGAATCCGAGATCTTCTCGTGTTCTGGAGGAAGCAGTCCCTTGTGCTGGGAATCTTTCTGTCCGTTTTGCTGAGGCAAAGACCCCCAGCTGGAAGTCTGCACTTCCGGAATGTTATAATGGATGGCCGCATCTACTTTATGATTCTGCTCCGCCGAATGAACCATTGAACTGCCTAAAGGCCAGCAGACACAAAGGAAGTTATTGGCACCTGGCTGAAGAACGACTGGATCTCCGTGTTGGCACCAAGTGCGACAATGATTTGGGTCAGGACATTATAATTTCTGAAGAGTAGTATGATAATGCAGATAGCTACGAGGAGGCCTTTGATTTAGAACATAGAATATAAGATTGGAAAGGACCTTGGAGATCTTCTAGCCCAACCCCCTACTTAAGCAGAAGACCCTATACCAGGCGTAGGCAACCTCGGCTCTTTTATGACTCATGGACTTCAACTCCCAGAATTCCTGAGCCAGCATAGCTGGCTCAGGAATTCTGGGAGTTGAAGTCCATGAGCCATAAAAGAGCCGAGGTTGCCTACCCCTGCCCTATACCATACTGTACAAATGGTTGCCCTGTCTCTTCTTGAAAACCTCCAGGGATGGAGCACCTACAACTCATGGAGACAGGTCATTCCACTGGTTAACTGTAATTCATTAGCTGTTACTTTATTGGAATTTTATTGAATGGAATCCTAACGCCAAGGGCAAAACCCATCCCTGGTTTTGCACATGTATAAAATCCCATTTTGGATCTAATGGACATCCTCCAGTGTCCCTAATTCTTCAAGAAACCCTGGGTTTCCAGGATAGCTTTTCTGCCCACCTTACATAATTGAGGTGGACCATCCCTGGCATGAGACGTCTATCAGTGGAAGAGGTTACCACAAGAAAGAGTTTCTTCCGCTTCGCTGGAGGTCTTTCGACAGAAGCTGGATCGTCAAGGACGGTGTAGAGCAATGTTTCTCAACCTTGGCAACTTTTAAGATGCCTGGATTTCAACTCCCACACCCTCTGGCTAGAGAATTCTGGGAACTGAAGTCCACACAAGGATGAGAAACACTGGTGTAGAGAATCTCGCAGTGTGCCAGGGATTGGATCTGATGACCCCTTAGTTCGCTTCCAACCCTATGAGATGTTTCTAAGCCCTGATACAGTAATGTAGGAAGCTTCCCTTCACATTCCTAAAGGAGATGGAGCTTCTAATCCCAATTTTGGTTCCTTTCATCCATAGGCTTCCATAGGCTATATTGTCCTTGATTTACAACCATTCACTTAGTGACTGTTCAAAGTTCCAACAGCATTGAAAACAGTGACCCATGACCATTTTTCACACTTTCACCTTGAGGATCCCCATGGTCACATGATCAAAATTCGGACGCTTGCTAAGTGGCATGTTATTTATGATGGTTCCAGTATCCTGGGGTCATGTGATCCTCTTTTGTGACCATCTGACTAGAAACCAGATTGACTTAACAACCATATTACTAACTTAAGAACTGCAGTGATTCCCTTAACAACATTGGCAAGAAAGGTCGTAAAATGGGGCAAAACTCACCTAGCCACAGTCTCGCTTAGTGACAGAAATTTGGGGTGTCAACTGTGGTCATAAATCAAGGACCAGCTGTGAATACCCCTGGAATGAACTGGTCTCTCTGCCCCTGGGGTTCCTAGTGGCCTATGCCGCCCTTACCTTTGTGTTTCTGCAAAGCCTTCTGGGTGGACTGCAAGACGGACTCGTGGAACTGGTGAGCAAACTCCTCAGCAAGGAACGGTTCCCACTGCTTGTTCTTCCCGTTCATGCTATGGGAGAGCGGAACAGGGACCTCTTTCGGCAAAGAGCCCCGGACACAGTTCAGGAGGCTGAGGTTCTTCTTGACCGTGTGCCCGTCGCTCAACCGGGGCTTCTCAGCGGGAAGAGGAACGGGGTCTTTGGCTCTGGAAAAGTCATGTGGTCTCAGATGATTTGTTCTGCAGGACTCCGTGGCCTTCTGGGCTTCTGGCAGAGAAGCTGGAGCCACGTTGACCGGTTTATCCGACTCCAACGGCGCCGTTTGCTGAACTTGTGAGTCTTTGGGGAGAAAAAAAGCCACACGCCAGTTAGGATCAAGAAGACGTTGTACCCTGTGACACCTCTGGAACTCACTCCTGGTTAGAACACGGGGATGGCTAAGCCCAATCATGCAGAAAGATACCTTTCCATTTAATCCTCCGCAGAGTTGATGTTCGTTTCCTGACAAAAGAAATATATTTGGAAGCAAAGCAAAACCGAAACTATGTTTAGCAATAGCCTGAGGGTAGCTTTAAGCTTATTCCCGAAGAAGAAAACGGTGTCTTGCTCCAGGCAAATATGCGCACAAACAAACCACGGCCTGTTGGAGCCCAGATCAGTCGTTTTATTTGACATGGGGCTTCGCGGGGACCACCCAAACTGCAACTGTCCTCCTGCAGAGCCTCAGCTCTGATTCTTCTCTGCTTCCCACATTCCCAACCCTGGTCTGTCTTGATTTTCAGGAGTACTTGGGAGATAATGAGGCTCAAGGGGCATTTTTTCCCCCTCTTCTGAAATTTCTGCAAAAATGGGGAAAGGTTGCATTTCCACCACTTTCTTGGGAAGCCTCATTGAAGCAAGTGATGGGAAAATCAAGATAGTCACAGCATCTTTTGAGACAAAGCATCATCCAACAGACCAAACAGGTTTCTGGAAAACTATACATGTCCCATTGATGCTGGAATGGAGTTACATGAGGAGATGGGGCTCCATCAGAAGAATCTCCCAGCCTCAGGAAGCCACTGTCCATGGTTCTTCCAGGTCTTGCCATGAGATGCCACCATTTATACAGCTACTTACCAGCTTGGGCAATACTAGGACTGTCCCGTGGGGAGTTTTTAACTGACAATGCCGTGCAGATATTCTTTTGTTTCATGGCATGAAGCATCTCTGTCAGCTTCTCTTTATCTGCAAAGCAAGAAGCAAAGATGGTTTTCAAAGGACCAAGACAGGCAGCAAGAACCCTATCAAAATAGCCTAGGAGAAGACCCTGGTTGGGTAGGTCTACCATGGGACAGACATGTGTTGAGTCAACAAGCATTTGGCACTTTTGTGAAATTAGTTAATTGTTTCATGGAGAGGATACTTTGGGTTCTTTGGCTGGAAGCTTAAATCTTGGCAACTTTAAAGATTTGTGGATTTCAACTCCCAGCGTGGCTGGCTGGAGAATTCTGGGAATTGAAGTCCACAGGTCTTAAGTTGCCACGGTTAAACACCCCTGCTCTAAGGATTTCAAAAGCCATCTGCAAGGGATCGAGTATGAATTATAGCCAGTTCAGGCAATCAGCAGGAGCTTTCCCTCACATATTTTTCAAGACTCAGGACAGACAAACAATCTAAGACAGCAAATATTGCTTTGGTTGCTCCAGAGAGCTACAATGCTCAACAGCTATGGAAAAACACGAATCTCTACAATCTGCAGCACCCCGGATCAATACCTTTCCTCTTTTCTGCAGTAATGTGGGTTAAATTGAAGGTTGTGAGGAACCTTTTCTTCTCTTCAAAGTTGGGACCATGGTTCATTTCATCCGGGCTGTAACGTGTGGAGAGCACAAAACGAGGGGAAGGCGTTGGACGCTTATTCTGGATGGTGGGTGGGGAAGGGCTGCTCTCCCTCAACATTCTCCGTCGTTTCCTCCGCTTCTGGATCAGCAGCTCCTCCTTCTGCTGCTGAGTGGTCAGCCCAAAAAGCTGCAGGAACTCCAGCTTCTAGAAGAACCAAACAGGAACGTCAATTTACAAAGGCTTTCTCTTTAGCTAAATTAGGCACCAGCCAGAGCTTCCACACCATCCATGGTTTTCTTGACCACAGGAAAGGTCTCATCCCTTGGGACAGTTTAAAACAAGAGGAAAAGCCATAATAATAGAGCATCTCATTTTTAGAGAAATACCTAGCCGGTCAACCTTTTGTGATAAAAAGCATATCAACTGTAAAGAAAAGGAGAGAAATATCCATGACCTAAACACAGGGGTCTTCAAACTTGGCCCTTTTATGATTTGTGGACTTCAACTCCCAGAGTGCCTGGCTGAGGAATTCTGGGAGTTGAAGTCCACAAGTCATAAAAGGGCCAAGTTTGAAGACCCCTGACCTAAACAAAGGTCTAAGATCCCTTGTGCGGCCAACTTGAAAATATGAAAGTGTCCTCTGCCTGAGTAGCCTCAGACTGGCACATGGCTCCACCACCCCACCACGTCTACCTTAGATTCATGACCCCAGATTTATCTTCTGGTATCAAGCACTGCTTATCTTTAAAGGCCAGCCATGCACAAAGCAAGTGTCATCTGTTAGAAGAAAGGCTCCATACTTCTGGTTGCTTCCAAAATTCAGATCTTGGCTTTCTTATGAGATACATCTTAGGTTAGAGATAAGGCCAAGCAAATCCTATAGATCCTACAATGCACCTGTCCTGTGGTAGTGAACACTCTGTTACAAGCCAGAACCCTTTGGCCTACATCATTACAGGGAACAGGGGATGACACCTACCTCAGAGGAAGTGTCCAACTTCAAAGGGGGCTGTTCTGCCACACAGCGTAGGTGAGCCCGTACTTCCTCTTCATCGCTCTCATCGTAAGAATCATCCAGATCATAATAATATCCTGCGTACCCCAAGCAGAGCAGATGTGAACTTTGATGGCCGCCCAAAACTTCATCTTGACTTTTGCCAAGGCGCCCTCTTCTTCCTCCAGAAACCCAAGCAAGGCCATCAGAAGCATCTGAGTCCCACCATGATGGGTCTTCTCAGGGAAGAGCTGAATTAATTCTCACAGCTGTTCTGGGTTCCCAGAAGGACAGGGGCACCAAGGGCAGCTGGACCTATCATGCAAGACTGCTCTATAGGGTGGTAGCTATCCATCTGCCAAGACAGGCATGGAGCCTGGGCCAGGGCTATTTTGCCTGGGGGAACACTCAGATACTGCAAGGAACAAATTAGGCAAGCCAGCACTGGGTTTAAGGAATGACAGGTAAAGCTCAGAAGAAGGCAGGAGGCAGCCAGCTGTTGGCTTCTGGTGCTTATAAACAGGAGATGGCAGCTGTATTTGTCCCCACAGTCTAGTTCGGCTGTAAGATGTTAGCCTCTCTCTTCTTGAACCATAAAAGAGCACCAGGCAGACACATATGTGGGCTATTACAGGCCAGGCCTGAGGTTTTTACAGAGCTACTCATGCCCCCCAAGGCATAGAAGTCAACCCAGCCCTAGCTAACACACTCCTGCAAAGGGACAAACTGGAGGGACCCTGGGCAGAAGGAGCAAGGTCCAAAGAGAGATAAGGCTATGCTGCCTCATGATGGAAGCCCTGAATCCCCCTCCCTTCTACCTAAATGTTTTGTTTTCCTCCCTTTTGCAAATCCCACCATGGCTGTACATTCTCGATGAATATTTAAAGCCGCTTTATTAGTCTCCGTTCATCATTTATTAATTGGGCCTGTCTCAGAAAGACAATTTGCAGAGCAGCTTGAAATAGGCCTTCAGAGGGAGCTGCAGAGGGAGGGAGGGAAACCTGCATGACAACAAACTCCCTGGTAAAAAAGCAGGGGAGACTTTGGGGAGAGGGGCTAAGCCAAAACATGACAGGGGTCCTTTTATCTGACATTCTTCGCTTGGCCAGAGATACACGAGTCTTGGATTGAATGTAATGTCTTTTTTCCTGATTCCTTTTATTCCACTTCCATTGGAACAATGCTTCTCTCTCTCTCCCTCTCCACTAACCTCACGCCCTTCTAGCACCGATGATGTTCCCTAGTTGGGTCATGAAATGTCTGCAAGAAAACTACCAAGCTCAGAGGGCACCAAGGACCCCACAGTCGTCGTCCTCCTCCTCCTCCTCCTCCTCTTCTTCCTCCTCCTCCTCTTCCTCCTCCTCCTCCTCCACTTCCTCCTCCTCCTCCACCTCCTCCTCCACCTCCTCTTCCTCCTCCTCGCACTGATTATGTTCCCTAGTAGGGTCCTGAAACATCCACAAGAAAACCACTGAGCTCAGAGCCCCAAGGATCCCACAGTTGAACCCTGAGCTATGAAGATTCTCTTCTATCAGTTTCTCAATTCTCCTCTGAAGCAGGAAACCCTGAGGAGGGTCGATGGGCACCAACCTTTCTCCTGAGCTTCTCTCCTCCTCCTCTCCTCCAGGTCCAGCTTGCTGACCAGCTTACGCTGCTGGAGCAAGAACTCGTCGTAAACATACATGGGATCATGGCCTCTGGGCAGGAGATGCCTGTACGGGGAGCCCGTCGGGTTCTTCAATGTCTCAACAAACGGTCCGCTTTGTGGGAGGGGGGTCCTCTGCTGCAGGGGCTTCTCCCATTCGCTTAATAAGGGTCCGTGGGGAAACCCACCGGGCTCGGATCCACCCGTCTCCCGGCCTGGTAGGTATTTGTCCAAATGTTCCTTTTTCCGGGTTCCGTCCTCAGCCTTCTCGGGACAGTAGATTCGTTCCACTTTGACCAAAGGGATGGCTTGCCGGGTGGACTCGTACGGGCTGACGTGGGCGGGGAGCGGGTGGCTCTCCTGTAGCCTCCTAGCTTCCGTGGTGCTGTCGATCAAGGAGACCGGGTTCCAGAGGGACGTGGGCACCGGATGGGGTTGCGGCTTGGGGGATATGAGTGGAGGGGGCCCTCCGAAATGCTGGGGTTGCTCTCGGCTCCCCAGTTCAGGGCGGTTTGGTCCCAGTCTGGAGAAAGAGGAATGCAGAATGGTATTAATGTAAACAAGGCTGCACAGGGAACCCTGGACTTACGACCAGAATGTTCATTACTAGGCAAAGTGAGTCATACCAAATTTTATGGACTTTTTGGCCATGGCTATTAAGCCGATCACTGTAGTTCTTACGTAAAACATTGCGGTCACGAAGCATTTCCAGCATAAATAAGTCTTCGTTGTTGCTTCCAAACTACATCAGACCTTCTCGTTCTCTTTTTGTCGAGCAGTGATCTGAAAAAGAGCTGGTTGCTCTTTTTTTCATGCCTTCCTTTTAGCTTTTATTTGAGGATTGAAATGCAAGGTTTTTTTTGTTTGTTTGTTTTGTTTTTAGGGCATTTCGATTTTGCACTGCTTGCTTTGTTTGGCTGAGAATTACCCTGGGAGTAATGCATGCACAAAAGCCTTACGCAAATAAAATATCCTTTATTATTATTATTATTTTGTGCCTGTCTTTTATACATTATGCAACACAGCACAACACCCAAATCTCAGTTTCTGCTCTGGATCACAGTTCAGTGCAATCAGAGCTGGACCTTTTTCCTGTAAAACTCTCCAGTAGAGGGCGTCTTGTCCACAGAAGTTGTCCAATTCATGCCTGCGGGACTCAGAATGAGCGACATCTAGTGGCATTGCCATTAAATGCGACAGAAACCAGATTTTCCTCGTCATGAGTATTGCGCTTACTTCTCAACTGCACACAAATGCCAATTTCTCCAAGGAAAAGCACACAGGAACCATCATCTAAAGATCACTTAGTGAGCTTCTCTGCTGTGTTTCTCAGCCTGGGCAACTTTAACTGTCTGGACCTCAACTCCCAGAATTCCCCAGCCAGGATGTAACCTGTAAAAACAAAAACCTGGAAGGGATGCATTTTGCCAGCATAGAAACCATACTGTCCAGTCATTTGGGGCTTGAAGCAGATGCTCAGCCATTTGCAAACCACAGTTTGAGTAATTTATATTAAATGTGTGGCAAGAAGCTTTTTGAGTAGCCAACTGAGCTTGGTTAACCAAAAAGGAAACTGCTTTTAGAGTCCATTAGAGTGGTCAATGTCTCCCCTGAAAAGCATCCCACCATAAATTAAATCGCAGAAGAAGGAAGGTTTTGCACATCGACGAAAGCAGCGTCGTCCAAATGACTTCTCTGTAAATTAGACAGCCTAAGTCAGAGGGGTCCAATCTTGGCAATTTTTAGGCCTGTGGACTTCAACTCCCAGAATTCCCTAGCCAGCATGGTTGGACACCCCTGGTCTTAGCTTTAAATGTAAATAAATATAGTGCTATTATTTGTGAATCTTGATATTTGAGGGAAATGATCCTTTCATATTCCCTAAATCAAGGGTCTTCAGACTTGGCCCTTTTATGACTTGTGGACTTCAACTCCCAGAATTCCTCAGCCAGGCGCACGAGCCTGGCTGAGGAATTCTGGGAGTTGAAGTCCACAAGTCATAAAAGAGCCAAGTTTGAAGACCCCTGCCCTAAATGAATATGCTTTTTCTTTAGCAGCGTTTCTCAACCTTGGCAATTTTAATTTGCCTGGACTTCCATTCCCAGAATGCCCCAGCCAATATGGCTAAGGTCGAGAACCCCTAAATTAGACAATCTCCAGGATGTCTTTCGATCTTCCTACTCTGATATGCAGATTCTAATACGTAGAAGGTTGCAAATCTCCCCTGTCAGTCATCGTTCAGGCTCACAGATTCCACCACGAAAAAGCCTCCCCCAAAGTTATGCTCAAGCGACACAGAGAATGACAACCGTGTAATACTTAAATAAGTAGCAAAAGGACAACAGAGACTCAATAAGCACATTTGCTGGAGCTGCGCTCTGAACAGCTTCCCACTCAAGAGCACCAGGGTGCTGTGTACTGAAACAACAATGGCGGCTTCCCAGTGCGATGCATTACACAACTGCTGGGCAGACGGAGTGTCTCTCTGCAAAGTGCTTACAGGAGACAAAATTTATGGCGGAGGGGAAACAGAACAAATGTCAGCCTTCCTGGGCCCAACAAAAGAGCATTTTCAGAAGCGCTATAAAAGAAATCACCAGATGAGCAGAAGTAAAAGCAGTTTCGTAAAGAAAACACAGGACGAAGATGGGAACAGCAGCTGCAGATTTACCTGAACCATATCTCCAAAATGCTCCAAAGGTGTTTTCCCCCACCCCAAAAATGGCAACTGGACTTTCTTTTTTTTTTTCCTGGAAAATGTTTTGCTTCTTATCCAAGAAGCTTCTTCAATTTTCAAGGGAAAAAAAGTCAAGAAAGTCCGGATGCCTTTTGGGAAAAAAGCCCCTTTGGGATGACCATGATGTGGAGGGTTGAGGAGCCCCATAGACACATGTCTCCAAAATGTGCTTATACAAAGATCACAACGGAGAACTGAGGCAGTTATCTATCCGTGAGAAGGAAGTCACAGAGATATGGATTTGCAACAATGGCTGAACAACGTGCAGCCAACGTAGCATCTGTCGCATCCCTTATCCAGCCAAAGTGGCTTAGCAGCCACTGGATTTTGTCCTTTCAAAGCGCCTGAGCCGTCGAGCGTTCTCTTGACATCTGCCACACAGGTGACCCAGCTCCAGCGCAAGAGGATGATGGAACGGGAATGTGACACGGCCAGGCACACCAGCAATCCATGCCTCCTTATCCTGATTAGCTTCGTTAATCCCCTGGACACCCAAACTACCAACAATGGGCTCCGGCGGAAGAGCTGAGCCAAGTCAGTTCTGCTTAAAGAGCGGATGGATCTTAGCAGAAGGTCTTATCCCAAGCTGCTCTTCCTTGCTCAGCTCAGTGCCTGCTTGGAATCAGCTCAGAAACAGAAGGGCTGGCTGGACCCACTGCACAGCTGCTGGGTTGGCGCCCGGTCTCCAGCTTGGCATCAAAATCACCACCCTGGTGGGTCGGAAGACACTACTGTCCTCCTGAAGAGCAAGCATCCAGCTCTTGGCCAAGCAGATCATAACAATCTAAATATCAAACCTGGACTACTCAACCTCACCAGGGCCTGCTGTTCGAGGCCAGCCAGCAGCCGTGCCAATTATGTCTGTAACCCATCAGATTTAGAAGTCCCTCCATCTGCCAAAGACAGCTCAAATTAGCGGCAACTGTCTCAGAGACACCTGGTCACTGCTGATGGCATGGAGGCCACCTCGCCCCTTCGGTCTGGGCATCCAAGCAGCTGTCAGGTGGCATTGCAGGGTGGCTGCTGAAAGCTAGGAAGCAGAGGCCACGGTGATCCTTGGGAAGCCTTGTGTCGTTGATGGCAGGTGGTTACTTGCCCCCCACCCCCAAAAAACGGTCAAAGGGGGCCACCTGTCACCTTCACCTCCCACAAGGCCAAGACCACCAGCCGCTACCTGGAGTTCTCTGGCCGATGCTCCACTTCCATCTGTCCGGCTGGGCGCCCGATGTCCAAATGCTGTTCCAGGACCTGCTGCCGAAACTCAGACACCTGGGATTGGCGGTCTTCCTTCTCTTGTCGTAGCCGCCGTTGTCGGGCCAGCCATTTTTCCTCCTCATTGGTGCGTTGGATGAGGAGTGCGGTGGCTGTGCTGCCTCCAGGCGGGGGGAACAGACTGTGGTTGGAAATCAAGCTGGGCACCGGGTGCTGCGAGGCAGGTGACTGGTGCAACGGAGGCTGGACTGCTTTTGGGGTCTGGGCAGCAGAAGAGTCCTTTGGTTTTTCTGCTGGAAAATAAAGAGAGAGATGTATTCCATGGCTAAGAGGCAAAAGGAAGCCTGCAATTTGTTAACACTGGAAGGCTGCTGTCTAGATAAGGAGCATCTGCCCAGTTTGAACATTGCAGGAGGGCAAATGGGTCACAATTGGGCATGTAATGCCTTTGCCTACAGCTGTTGACACCATTTTGGGAGAAATAATCTAGGTTAAGGAAGGAAACCATGACTGGGGCCCCACAGACCAATTCTAGCAGCTCCACAAGTCACACACGCACACACACACACACACACACACACACACACACACACACACACTTTGTAGGTGGGTTCCATAATTCTGGTAATGCAAGCAGAGAAGAGAAGAAGTGGGAAGGAAGAGTGTTATGAGATAGGCGGTCCTAGGATGTCTCCGCTTCTTGGAGAAGACTGGTTAGAAAATGGTTGTCCATCATCGGCAGAGGCGAGCACTTAAAAGAAAGTCAAATTCTACAAATTCCACCCCTGACTGGCCAATCCACGGATGCACAGAACACCCTTGGCACGAACAAGCCTCAGAAGGCATTCAACCATGCACAGAAATTGCACGCAATGCAACAACCCAAGCGAGATGCAAACAAACAATCTATGGAGAAATGACACTTCAAATTGCAAAACCATCCCATGAATTCATCCCAACTGAGACTCGGGTTTGAAGACTCTGTTTCCGCTCACTGTCTCCCTGGAAATAGACTGGGTGTTTCTGACTGAGTGGCAGAAAGCAGCTGAAAGTCACCTGCTCGGTTTGGCGTTAGCTGTTCTGATGGTTTGACACGTTCTTCGGCTGGGTGGGTCCTAGGCCCTTGCAATTCTGAGACAGACAGAAAGGGGCCTTCCATGGCTTTGACGAGGCTCTGCTCCTTTTCCCGGGCTCTCTCGCGCTGTCTTTCCAGCTCCCGTTCCCTCTCCCGCTCCCGTTCTCGCTCCAGCTCCTTTTCCCGCTCCCTTTCCCGTTCCCGCTCCCGATCAGCTTCCCGTTCTCGCTCCTTCTCTCGCTCCCGTTGCCTCAGCTCCTCATCCAACTGCAGCCTGCAAAATCAAGAGAAGAACAAAGCTCACGGAAACCGGGAAATAACTTTTGCCTGTCAATCACTACGGTGTTCCGACACTCCATACCTCTCCGCGGTCAGGCTGGAGAGGCGTTCCGACTGAAGTGCAGAAAGAGATGAATGGGACAACTCGGCGGGGTACCTCATTCCCGATAAATGGAGGTGCATGGCTGATGGGTGGAGTGGTGGGAGCGAACCAGGAGTTGGAATTGGGTAGAAAGGAGAGCGAAGAGCTGAAAGGCAGTAGGAATCATCCATTCTGGAAAAAAACAGAGTTGTTGGGCTATTTTGACTCGCCAGCATCCCATAAAGTTTAATCACGTTATGCTTCTAGCTAAGCTTCAGCTTGGCAAGGCTGGGCAGAAATGATCACCAACAGCTTTCTTATCTCCCTCACTCCTAATTTGTATGGAACATACGTGAATTCTTCCTTGACCACAAAATCATTCAAGACAGCTACCGCAACGTAAACAATAATAAAATAGCAGATAAAGCCATCCTGGCAGAATAGAAGAGCATTGTAATATTCTTAAGAGGTCTAGATAAATGAAACCTCTATTACAGTGGTTCTCAACCTGTGGGTCGGGACCCCATTTGGGGTCGAACGACCATTTCACGGGGGTCACCAAACAACGCAGTCCGCCATTTTTTCCCCCCTTTTCCTTAGCTGTGCTACTCCCTTTTATTCTATTGGCTTTCGAAAGCCAATAGAATAGACTCTCTTGAATAGAGTCCAATTCTATTGGCTTTCAAAAGCCAATAGGAATTGTCCAGGCTGTCTCTGCCTTGCTGAGCCCGCCAAAAGTCCCATTCTGCAAACGGTGCCGCACCAGTTGAATACTCCTCGACTTACGACCGGTTGAGTAGTCCTCGACTTATGACCGGTTGGGGGGGGGGTCGCGGCATTAAAAAGGTTGAAAACCACTGCTCTATTACGAATGAAGGCAAATCTATATGTCCCAGGACAATGTTGCAGGATCCAATCTGGGTCGGTCACCAGGACCAGAGGTTTAGTCTTCCAAGGTTTTGGACGGTGCTGGTCCATCCTCAGGAAACTTCTCTGTAGCAGACACATGTCTGCAAGAGAGCAGTTCCCTGAACTAGATTCTCTGAGAATTGGCTCAGCATGAGTCTGAATGCTCAGAAGACTAAACCTCTGGTCGTGGAGATCGACCCAGGTTGAAACCTTTATTATCTATTACTCAAAATCTGGCAAGGTGGATATGGGATGCGTGACTCCAAAAAAGACCTTCTAGCCACCCTACTCAGAAGATGCAGTCCTGGATCACCACTGAGCCAACCTCACTAGATGGGGGTGTCCCTCAAGGACCTTCTCGGAGGAGTTCAAGGAAGAATGCAGCATCTACCTGCATTCTCACCTGCTCTAAAGCCAAGTCCACAGACTCCGATACATGACTGACTCATTAGCATGGAGAAAAGCTGGAGGCAAATTCTCAGCTTTCCGGGAGGCTCTTCAAGGCATTTGTTTCCAGTCCTTCAGATCTCCATGGACACAGCGTGTCTTGCTAGCTGGGGTGAAGCTGGACAGCAGCTGAGACTGCTCAAAGGACCTCGTTCAAAGGACAAATTAGCAGCCCACCATCCGAAGTCCTGCTGCTCTTTTAAGTGGCAACCGGCTGTGTTTTATTTCGCTATGTGAAAGTCCTCAGAGAGCCTCCCACTCTATGGGCCAAGAGGGTTCACGAGTGGTGGCTCTAAAGGACACGCCTGGGGGACAGATGACTTAACCGACTGTGGCTGCCCAACCAGATCAGGAGCAAAGGAGCGCAACCTTCTTCTCGCACAACTCTTCTCTTACCTGAAAGCCGGGTGAGGGAAAGGGTGATGAGCCAAGTAGCTGGGGTGGTAATAAGCAGCGGCAGTGGCCGGGTCCAAGGCCAGGGGAGGCAGGGAGGACACGCGGAGCTCCTCGGCTGCGTGGTAGGGCCGGAAGCTCCGCAGGTAGTCTTCGGCATTAGGAGGCACCACATGGTGGACAGGACGCTGGAGGCTGGAAGGGAGAGAGAGAAGGAGGGAAGGGAGGGAGGGAGGAAGGAAAAGAGGGAGGGAGGGAAGGGAGAATGAATGAATGAATGAAGGAAGGAAGGAAGGAAGATGAATTCTAGAAGTCTGCAATAATATTTCCAATCTCTTTTCCCTCGTGGACTGGAGCCCCACTCCTGGGCATCCATTGTTACATGTCCCCACATGCAGCAAGCCCAAAAGAGAATGGGCAAATGGGAGGCCTGATCCCCATTAGGAAAGAAACATGTCTGACTGGGAGCAGAGTCAACCTTCTCTCCTTAGCACTAGCATTTGGTTGGGTCTGTCCACTTCTACAGCTACTTGGGAGGCCAAAGAGCCACCCAAACTTGAAAAATGCTCTTGTTTCCCAAAACTTCAAGAAGAAAAAGTAGCAGCCCTTCTTCCTTCCTCTGCAACACACACACACACACACACACACACACACACACACACAGAGAGAGAGAGAGAGAGAGAGAGAGAGAAACTTTCCTCTTGATCATGTTACTAGGAGGCATATGGCACCCCTGTGATTCACGGCACCATCTCCTGCCAATGCAGAGAAGGGCACATAGAACATGGTTTAGTGTGGTGTTGGCCATAGCCAACCACCAGCCTGGGGAGGCTCCTGTGCTATACAGATTTCCTCGAAAACTGTCTGCAACCAACATCATGGCATCCTATCATTCGGATGAACTTGGAGAAATAGGACACAAAAGTCCCGTCAAGAGCCACTATGGGAAGGGTAGGCATTGCCCCAGCCTCCCTTGGCCTCACTTACTTGAGAGGTGGGAAACGAGAATCCTGGACGATGGAGTTGGGTGGGATTGCAAAGGAATAAGGCGCCCCCAGCAAATGGGAAGGGACGGTTGGGCCACTGGCTTTCTCCTGCGGCAAGGGAGCCTCGGCGATCAGGCGGTCCCGGTTCGTGTTGCTGCCTCCACCGCTGCTTCGTGACCCAGCTTCTTGCTGAAAGGAACACAAACCCCATGATCCCCATCCAGAGAAGACCCCAGGGGAGATAGGAAGAATGCAAAGGGCACAAACAAGCTATAGATATACAGATTACCCCCGCATATCACGAGTGGCTATATACTATCTTTTAAATCAGGAGTCTCCAAACATGGCCACTGTAAGACTTGTGGACTTCAACTCCCAGAATTCCCCAGCCAGCCATGCAACTTTAAGATTGGGGAATTCTGGGAGCTGAAGTCCACAGGTCTTAAAGTTGCCAAATTTGGAGACCGCTGTTTTAAATAAACAGATAAACTTCAAAAGGCAGCCTGTATGTATACTGACAATCTGATAGCAAATTTGCCCCATGTTAGCTTGGGAAAAGGCAACCTTAAAAGTAACTTTATGCAGAGAGACTTTCCCTAGTTTTTAGCCCTTCAGCGACCGGAATTTCCCCGCAGCATTTGGCTTAACATGCTTTGGGGTCTACGGGGTTGGGGAGGGGCAGAGATGCCTGACAAACAGCAAGAGAGGCTGTCAGCTACAATTCTCCCCGGTTAAAAAAAACAAACAGGCCCCGGGCCAGCTGTTCTGGTGGGCCAGCCTAGCATCAGCTGAGAAGGCAGCTGCTCCTGGACGCTGCCGCAAATCCAGCTAATTCTGTAGTGTGCATAAAAGCCGTAATGGCAGGAGGAAGCTGGCACTGCCACCGGGGTAGAGAATGATCTGTGACCAGTTGTTCCCTGAAGTGGGCAGCCACGGCCACAGCTGCGTAAGCATCTGCTTGTCTTTTGCCATTACAGCTCTTCTGGCAATACCACGGTGGGAAGGGAGAGCGGCACCATCTGGTTTGAGCCATACATGGTGCTCTCTGCTCCCCGGCTTAATCCCAGCCAGATGTGCTCTGGGCAATCACCTGCGCGTGACGGGAGGGGGGGGGGCAGAGAAGAAGCAAGAATGCTGGCCCCCAACCAAAGCTAGCGATGCTTCTTTCGGGCAAGGGCCCCATGGACACATTGACACACAGACCCTCTTGCTGACTTGGTGCAGCAGCAGGAAGAAGGATCGCCAGGGGGGTCAAATGTAAGATAGGGGAGATTAAGCGGAGAGATGGCTCAGCCCCATGCACACATCTGCATTTCAAACAGATGAACCGAGAACCTTGGCAAGCCGCCTCTATCTGCCAGAGCATCTTCTCAACCCAGGAAACTCTGGATTGAGTTTAGGCATTCCTTGATTGGTTAACAACGGAGCAAGAATGGGCAGCAAGGAAGAAACAAGAGTGCAGAGAAGAGCAACCAAGATGATTAGGGGTCTGGAGGCTAAAACATATGAAGAATGGTTGCAAGAACTGGACATGGCTTGTCTAGTGAAAAGAGGGACCAGGGAGTGACATGATAGCAGTCTTCCAATATTGGAGGGTCTGTGACAGAGAGGAAGGGGTCAACATAATCTCCAAAGAACCTGAAGGCCAGACAAGAAACATTGGATGGAAACCGGTCGAGGAGAGATTCAACCTAGAACTAAGGAGAAATTTTCTGACAGTGAGAACAATTAACCAGTGGAACCACCTGCCTCCAGAAGTTGTGGATGCTCCATCACTGGAGGCTTTAAAGAAGAGACTGGGCAGCCATTTGTCAGAAATGGTATAGGGCAGTGGTGGCGAACCTATGGCACGCGTGCCAGAAGTGGCACTCAAAACCCTCTCTATGGGCACGCGTGCCATCGCCCCAGCCCCACCTCCCCCTGCGGCCCCCTCCTCTCCAGAGGCCTCCCCGGAGAAGAGTCACCCCCCAGGCGCGGCCTACACGGAGCAGCGCAGCCAAGGACATAGCAGGGCAGCAGGAACAAGACTCCGCCCTCGCGCTCCATAGCGTGCAGATGATGCTGCGGGGTGTGGGCAGAGGGCGTGGCTGCCACGGCGCTGCAGGGCTGCCTGGGTGATCTGCTATGGCGGGCCAGAGGCAGTGCATGGCCCTGTGGGCGGGCGGAGCAGGGGGCGAGCAGGGGCGGATCAGACAGGGCGGGAGGTGGAGTGGGGGCGGGTGGCGGGTTTTGGTCTCTAAAAGGTTCGCCATCATGGTATAGAGTCTCCTGCTTGAGCAGAGGTTGGACTAGATGACCTCCAAGGTCCCTTCCAACTCTGTTATTCTCTTACCCAACAGCTGGAAGTAGCTAATGTGGTGGAGGCCCACCCAGGCTTAACAAGAAAGGGAACCAGTGGTTGGTCAGCCCCACCTTCACACTGAAGAAATGAATAGGAACCCCCGAATGGCTGTAAGTGGTCTCTCCCTTGTTTTATGGGATTGCCTCTGAAAGCCTGTTCCATTTTGGAGGCCTCTTTCTGTTTTGAAGGAGAAGGTCAAGAACCCAAGTGTGGAGCTTGTCAGGTCTACAAGTCGACCGAGTCCATTGGTGCTCTGGCCCACAGGGACCTTGCAGAGCGTGTTCTGCCCTTCTTAATAGGATAACCATCTCCTAAGGCAGTGTTTCCCAAACTTGACAATTTTAAGGCATGAGGACTTCAACTCACAGAATTCCACAGCCAGCATTGAAGTCCACATGCCTTAAAATTGTCAAGTTTGGGAAACACTGTCCTAAGGGTTACCAAGTTCGCCTAGTATTGTGATCCAGATGTTCACCTCTATGGTCTCTCCTGCCCGTTTGAGTCTCCTTTGGAATTTATTGCTTTGCAAAGTTACTCATTTTGAGCTCTCCCAGCTACAGGGAGAAAAAGATATGAAAATATCTGACAAAATCTTAAGTGGAAACTCCTTGAAAGCTCTCCATTATTTCTGATTATTTGTACTCCAGCACTGAATCACCATGTCCCCTTCAAGTCCCTGTAGTTGGCATATTAATTAGAGAGACTTCAGTCCTGACAGCAGGATATACAATGCAAATTAAAGAATGTATATTTGCGTAATTTATTTTATTCCAATTGCAGAATGCGTATACTTGAGGAACAAAGGGTATACCGGTCACGGCTGTTATTTTTTTCACAAGAAAGCTCTGTTTTGCTAATGGTAGACGGGTCCTAAACACGCTCTTCTGCTCAATGTATTTGTCCACACAGGTCATGGTCATATGAGCATTAAGCCACAATGATCTCATAGGGAGGGATTGTCAACATTATTTGAGACGGGATGGGCAAGTCTAGAAGAAGACAAGTGGAGATGATGACCTAGTCCTGGCCTGGGGTCAAATCTTCCCATAAGAGGTGCTAAGATGTGTGCGGTAAGATGATCCACCCAGACGATTTAGCAAATATCCATCCAAACATCCATCCATTTTGCAGAAATACAATCTGAAATCTGTAGAATTCACGCCATCCATTTTACTTCTTCACCCCCAGATTCTGCCTACCCTGAACAGTGATTTATTTAAATAGCTTTGGAAGGGGGATTTTGTTAAGGATTCTCAGTTAATTCCTTGCTTGCCAATAATCAGGGTTTAGCAGTTGGTATTCCCTGAATAGGAGCTAATGTCTACTTTGGAAGTCTTCGGAGAGGAAAGGGGGCAGATGTTGTTCTACTCTGAATTTGGAGAGCAACTCAGCTGGAATGGAAGCAGATGGGGCAGCTCCAGGCAGAGAGCTGCAGTTCTGAGGGACTGGATCAGAGAAATGCTCCGTTTGGTTCAAGCTACTGATGGCACTGAAACAGGACTAAATCCCTATGTTCTCTCCTCAGAAAGAAAAAGAGCCACAACTGGGCTTGCTCTTGGGCTTTAACAGAATAACAGAGTTGGAAAGGAACTTGGAGGTCATCTAGTCCAACCCTGCTCAGGCAGAATACCCTATACAATTTGAGACAAGTAGCTGTCCAGTCTCTTCTTAAAAACTTCCAGTGTTGGAGCATTCACAACTTTTGGAGGCAGGTTATTTCACTGATTAATTGTTCCCACTGTTGGGAAGTTTCTCCTTAGTTCCAGGTTGCTTCTCTCCTTGATGAGTTTCCATCCGTTGCTTCTTGTCCTGCCTTCAGGGGCTTTGGAGAACAGCTTGGCTCCTTCTTCTTTATAATATCCTTTTCCAACAATTTCATAACCTGGAAGAAAGGCTTCTATTTTGCATTAAATGCTCTTCCAAAGATGAATTGCCTGTTTGGGTGTCACCTTAGAAAATATGACATATCTGGGATTCACTTGCGCCCAGCCAGGTACCACGGGAGACCATTCCAAGTGTATTTATTAAATATGAATACAACAAACATTCTGCAAGCTGCTGAGAACTCCTCAAGACTTGCAAATCTCCTCCAAAGATCCATTGGCCATAATTAATTCATAGCGATGGGCCCGATTAGAATTTTTAATGAGCAGGAACAGCTGTTCCTTCTCAGAACGCAGCGCCCGCCTGGGGCGCCACACACACGGTCATCTCTCACAACCAGCCCAACAGACAAATCCTGACCTTCTGTAGGAGGTGATGCTCTGGATGCGCCAGGCAGGAGAGCAGCAGAAGATGACTGCAGTAAAGAGGGGCAAAGCCTCGGAGCGTGTTGGAGAACAGGTGTCCAGAAAAAAGGGGGTGCATTGTACATTCTCCAGCGGGGATGGGAACAGATCAGAGGAGAGAGAGCCACTTCCAACTGCAGAGACCAAAGCAGAGGGATCTCATCTAGCTTGCAAGGGGTTTGATTTGTCTATGCAATCACTTAAGTATGAGCCAGCCATGTGCTGCAGCTGCCAAAAAAGCCAACGCAGTGCTAGGCTCCATTAATGTATGGCTGTGAAAGTTGGACCATAAGAAAGGCTGAGCGCCAAAGAATTGAGGGCTTTGAACTATGGTGCTGGAGAAGACTCCTGCGAGTCCCTTGGACTGCAAGGAATTCAGACTGGTCAGTCTTAGAAGAGATCAACCCCAACTGCTCTTTAGAAGACCAGATCCTGAAGTTGAAACTCAAATACTTTGGCCACCTAATGAGAAGGAAGGACTCACTGGAGAAGGGCCTAATGCTGGGAAAGATTGAGGGCAATAGAGGAAGGGGACGACAGAGAATGAGATGGCTGGATGG